TTTACAAAATGATCAGATGCTGTATTTTCATTGTCTTTTGTAAAATGCAGACATTGGATTTACTTGAGGTTTGACCCTCCACAGCTTCTTATTCATGCAAGCACTTTATATCCTAGATTAGAAATGCCATCGACATTAAAAACATCTATGAATAAGATATTATAATTCCCATAATTCCCTCCTGGAAGTAAACTTCAGGTGTTTTGCCAAGAAAACACAAGTAATAAATAAATGAAGATTTGGATATATTTGAAGGATTACAGCTTCTTTCATTGTAACTAAAAATAGAAACATATTGGCTGTAATAGAATGCTTTCAGATTCTTCTCACAGTATTTGAAGCTCAACAGTTGAGTCTGTCTGCTCATTCACAGCTTCTCCCGTAACTGCTTTAGACAATAACTGGCCACGGCGTCCTGCCTTCACGTCCTGTTAGATTCACCTTTATTCAAAGGTGCTCCAAAGACATAACATAATAAATCTCTCACTTAGGATTTGCCTCACTTGGAACTTTAAAGAATTGATGCTAAGCATAACTCATGTTCTCCAACAGGTCCATCGAGTGCCAAGAAAGCACTAAATACTTGTTCTGTCAGCTCTGAGCACCTGGCAGATGGCCTCATGCTGTTTCACAGCCCCTTCCACTCTCTTCTGGCAGCATAGCACCATAATCATCAGCCTGTGTCAGATTTAGCTCATCCTGAGTAACTACAAAAAAAACCCCTTCTTCCTCACCCTTGCCTCAATATCTACATATTTCACAGAAAAATATAGGTAAAAAAGCAATTATTTATGTTCTCCTCATTCTTTACAAACCAGACAAAATGGACATTGAACACTCTTCTGCAGCTGTGTCATTTTATCATTTATGTACCAATTTTGGGAAAAAAATGAAAATCAGATCTCTGGGCGATTTGAATAATTAATGTTCAACAGCACTGGTGTTTGAGATACGTTGCATCCACTGAAATGGAAAACTGGGCAATTCACCAGTATTAAAAAACAGGATGAAAGACACTTTTGTTCCACTGGAGGAACTGCAATGTCTGTAAAAAAATTGAGAGTTTAAACAATCAGCATCCTTCAGCATAAACAAATAAAAGTAAAGTTTCTTTGAAATGTAGAGTCTAAATGAATATATATTACGAATACAAACTTTTTCCCATTGAGTATAGATTCCAACATGCTGTTGCGCAGTTAATATACTTTCCTGTTGCATCCAAGCTCAGTCAATACAGTTCAGTCTGATTTATTTCACCTCCTGCCATGAGGAAATCATTATTTTGAATGCAGATATGGAACCATTAACACAGCAACTTTTAGGCACATTGAAAGTTTCTGCAAATGGACCAAATTAAATTAAATGATCACTTGTACAAATTGCATGTGGCTGCTCTGAGGAAAACTAAAAATGAAAGCTCTTTGGCCCTGCAGGACAGACACTGGTAACCCAAGGTAAGCACCACTGGGTAACAACTATTGATTTATTCCTGCAGACGCGCACCACATGTTGTTTCTCCTTAGTATGTGCATGTCTCTGTGTTGGTTTCTATCAGATTTGATTTACAAATGTATAGATAATCCAATGTTGTAGATGTTGTGCATTTAATCATTCATGGATGGTGTATGTGAGATTTTAAAAGGAAATCACTTTGAATTACTTTGAATTTCACGGGACATGCTTAATGGCATTCGCGATCTTTCAGAGTTTACTGTTTCCCTCTGTCTTATTTAATCAAATGTGATGATACATTTGATCATCTGTTGGAGTACCTTTGCAGACGTAGGATAACACGCCAGGTTCAGAGTACTCCACTTTGTGCTTTCAAGCAAGGCTTCCTTTCCACAAAATGGAGACAAATCGATATCTCCACACTGTGGTGGCATTATTTGCCAGATCCCATTTCACCCTTAAGCGACCACTCTCTCTACCTTCACCTTGGATGATCAGTAGTAGGCTTGCCTTATGTTTGATTGCTGACTATCTTTATGCAACACCATGTTATCAATTATTAGAGACCAATAGAAACCCTTTTGAGAAGATTTGATAGACTATTTTAAAGGGTAACAAATATTTAATGAGACCAAGTCCAATTCACCATTGCTTTTAACACATGGCCAGTGTTTTGACCTTCTCCCACACTCGATTTCCTCTTTCCACCAGCATGATTCTGCTTATTTTGTGGCAACACAGTCCTGCACATGCAGTAATTGCAAAGCCATTGTTTACACCTGCAGGGTTATCTGTATGTGCATGCATTCAGTGGTAGACATTCTCTTGGAATTGCTAGTGTGTGAAACTCCAATCTAATCTATGTCTACAATAGTTCACTTTTTTCCCCCCTTTGCCTGTAGGGTCACAATGATTTTTTTTGGTTTATGCCTGAGTTGTTTTCAAAACAATGCCTGATTATGGTGTGAAAACTCCTCTTGCCTCCAGATGTCATTACACGTGCAACTCCGTCAAAACAGGCACATTTCATAAAATAGAGAAAGGTAAATAAAAAAGTGCAATTTGAGATGAAAGAGCATGAAAAAAACACATCATAATTTATTTTGGGCTCAGGAAGTGTTGCCTCCTTGGCTGTATTTTTATATCTTGATGCATTTTTACCTTTTTTAAAAAGTATTTGTTGTCATGGCTCACCATGATGGTAACACAGCCACTAAATTAGTTTTCTGAAAACAGACATGAAAAGGAAGAGCAAACTAGCCAGGCCCGCAGTGTAGATGGCTCCTCAGACCTAATCTTTGATTGTGCTCTTCTGGGACAATCTAAGATGGGACAAAAGCCTCGAGATGATGGCAACAAATAGTTGCAACGTAGTAAATGAGTATTGATCTGGCTTTGTACCTGAAACTGTCACACCAATGTCCCTGGGAGTGAAACTCAGGCTAAACTATTGGGCTGAACGCTGAACCCATGATAGCATCATTGCAACCGTAGTTGGTTGCTGGGATCTAGCTCACACGTGTTTGGAAAGTATGTTGTTCTCAGTCACATATTTTTCCACAGGGGAGGACCAAAATCAGCCTCCGTCTGCTCAGCCAGTTTTCATTCCCTGAAGATTGCAGATGGAAATTTCTGGGAGCTCAGTCAGTTGCAGTAAAACAACAAGATGTAATTTATCAACGTAAAGAAGGATTATTTTATGCCGAGCATTATTTTTCATGTGAGCTGTACCTTCAAATATACATGAACATATATAACTTATAGGGCAGAGTATTAATGAACATCTTAGAAAACGTTTACTTATATTGTTCTTTGTCATGAGAGTGTTATGTTTGCTGTAAATTCTTACATCTCTTTCATCAAGTAACTAACAAAAAGGTACACAGAGACGGGCAGTGTGTGACAGCCGGTTATTGTTTCCTCCCCTGCTCTACCAGCTTCTTATTTATCTGCGTTCATCCAAAAAGGGTGACGAGTGCCTGAAAAAACACCTCCATCTCTTTTTCAGAAATCATTTCTCCACTGTGTTTACAGTTAGTCTCAGTTGAAGATCAATGATGGGTTTCCCTTCTGTTTCAGCCTTTATCTACAGAAAAGCCAATTAACAGATGTTGGACATTCATTAGTAAAATACTACATTAGTGCTCGCTGATTAAAATTTGCTTCGTGAAAGGTTTTAAGTCGCCTTCCCCATTCAGAATTGATCTAAAAAGGCTTTTTAATTATTTCGAAAAATGTTTATCCAACACAATTAGAATATGAGCATGTGTCCATGCATGTAAAGTTAGTTTTCATGCTGATGTGCTTTGCATTATAGGTAATGGAAACAGTGCATCTTTGTAATGGTATATGTGTGAAATGTAAAAGCATGCTATCCATTTATGTGCATGAATGAGGTAGAACATCTCTGCAGCAGGGGTCTGTCGATTATAGCTGCGGCGGCGTGCGCTCAGTGTCACAAACGGCTGTGAGACGCTGCTGGCTACTGGGGTTATTCAACACCTCTGTGGGCGGTCTGAGACTCTAGGCACAGGTGCAGCACTCAGCTTCAAATGTCTCTCCCTGTAGGATGAAATACCGTGTGTGAGCTATTGTCATTTTCCCTCTATTTATGAAAATGGTGTTTGTCGCAGTTTATGTTTGGGGAGGCTTTGGATGACATTGGACATTGGATTATACCAGTGGCCAACAGGGGCAGGTAGTTGTTTTGTTTATGTGACACACACTAGTTTCCCTTAGAGCTAAATCTTTATACGTATTCACAACATGAGATTATTTTAATAAAGGTATGTCCATTATGTATTTTCATGCCCTGTGATTGCTTGTCGAGCATGTACCTTGCCTCTTTCCTGGTTGCAACTGGAATAAGCTCTAGCTCCCTTGTGAACCTGAATCAGATTAATAAGGTGTAGAAAATAGATGGACATATGAATGATTCATCCTGAAATTTAGGAATCGGTTAGATGCGTTAGCTGAGTTTATTTACAAAAAAGTTTTTAAAAAGTTACATTGAGTGCCATGATAGTGTACATTTTTTTTAATCTACTCGGATATCTAAAAAGATTTTTAAGTAGGCATTATCTATATACAGCCTCGTCACATTTTAAAAACAAGTACAGTATATAAAAACATTGTTATTTCGAGTAAAGATCCTTTCATGCCCTCATTTCTGTCACATTTCACTGAAAAATGGTCGTCAATCAGCAAGTTTGTACTGATACTGATTTGTAAACTGAACTTGTAAGAAAAATATTTGTTGAAAACTATCGTATCAGAAGTTGGAATTCTTACAGTTTGCAAATATTTTGTTTCTAAATAGAACTGTTTCAGCTTGAATATCGTTGCACAAAGAGAGGTTTATAGCCTCACCTACTGGATATCTGCGGGATTGTCCGCAACTGTCTTGTCTCCATTTCACTCCTTTTTTTACTCCACATAAGTTTCTTTCCTGCCATTTCATGTGCTGTGTTCTTTGACCCTCCCTCTCTCTTTGTCCAAGGCTAATTTCTCCTATTTCTCTTTTTTGTAGAATATGCCAGAACATAACAATGAGCTCCAACAGCACAGACCCTGGTCTCCTCCTGACTGTCATTCCCTCACCAGCGTCTACAGACTACCCACCATCCAATGCCCTCCACCATGGAGAAAGGGAAGGAGCACCTTGGCTGGTTTTAAATCCAGACTCTGTCAATGATAGTTCCGCTTTCACCAGCAGACTCTTAAATGTCAGTTTAACAAATGGAAATGAAACAGCTGCCATTCACCCACTGGGTGGTCACCCCGTGTGGCAGGTTATCCTCATCGTCTTGCTGACTGGCACGCTGTCACTGGTCACCATTGTTGGCAACATTCTCGTAGTGGTGTCCTTCAAAGTGAATCGCCAGCTAAAGACGGTCAATAATTACTTCCTGTTGAGTTTAGCTGTTGCTGATCTCATAATAGGCGTAATTTCGATGAACCTCTATACACCTTATCTTGTAATGGGCTACTGGGCCATGGGCAACTGGGCCTGTGACCTCTGGTTAGCAATTGACTATGTTGCAAGCAATGCGTCAGTTATGAACTTACTGGTCATCAGCTTTGATCGCTACTTTTCAGTCACCAGACCTTTGACCTACAGGGCAAAACGGACCACAAAGCGAGCTGGAATTATGATCGGCTTGGCATGGTTTGTATCGCTTGTCCTGTGGGCCCCGGCCATACTCCTTTGGCAATATTTCGAAGGTAAAAGGACAGTCCCTTCAAATGAGTGCTATATTCAGTTCCTCACAGAGCCTGTAACTACATTCTGCACAGCCATGGCGGCATTCTACCTGCCTGTGACAATAATGAGTGTCCTCTATTGGCGCATTTACAAGGAGACCCAGAATCGTTCAAAAGAGTTAGCTGGGTTGCAGGGTTCAGGAGGCCGTGGTGGAATAGGGGGAAGGGTTGGTAACATGGGTGGCGAGAGGTCACGTTTTATGCATCAGACAGGAAGTTCAAGAAGTTGCAGTAGCTATGAGTTAACCAGATTGTCCAAGAAAAAGAGCACATGTCGAGAGCTGGTTGGACGCTTTCACTGCTGGCCTGGGGTCCGATCCTGGAGACCTGGTAGTATCCGGCACGGAGATGGTGATCCGGACCAGAGCAGCAGTGACAGTTGGAACAACAATGATGCTGCTGCTTCTCTAGACCACTCGGGGTCATCAGATGATGACGACTGTGCCGGAGGAGAGATGATTTCCCAGAGTCATGCTATTTTTTCAATTGTTCTGAGCCTCCCTGGCATAAAGGCCGCCGTCAATTCACAGCTCACCTCATGTGAGGATCTGGATGCAGCCTCGGAGGAGGATCCCCTGAGGGGAACTGAGTGTAACAGAGACAGCCTGTCAACAGTCACCACCAACACCACTGCCACTACTACACCTGAGGGAACAAACAGCTCAGGAAATAGCTACCACCAACGATTCTGCTCACGCAAGTCTCAGTCAATGTCTTCAATTCAAGCTAACTCTAACCAAGGATTTCTGGATGGTACTCCAACAGTCGCTACAGCCGGCACTCACAGCACTACAGCCAGCACGGCCACCAAGTCCCCTACTGTCCCAATGTCCTTCAAAGATGCAGCTATGGCTAAGCGCTTCGCTGCCCGAGCAAGGACTCAGATCACTAAGAGGAAGCGCATGTCCCTAGTGAAGGAGAAGAAAGCAGCTCAAACTCTCAGTGCCATCCTCCTGGCTTTCATCATCACATGGACACCTTACAACATCATGGTGCTGATCAATGCTTTCTGTAAAGTGTGCATTCCAGAGACACTGTGGGCAGTAGGGTACTGGCTGTGTTATGTCAACAGTACAGTTAACCCAATGTGCTACGCGCTGTGCAACAAGACCTTCCGTACAACCTTTAAAATGATACTTTTGTGCCGCTGGGACCAGAAGAAAAGGAGGAAGCAGCAGTTCCAGCAGAGGCAGTCTGTGGTCTTTCACAGGAAGATTCCCAGGGAGTCCACGTAAATGAGAACCAGTTTGGATAGTTGTTCAGAGTTGACTGATTTAACACAGGACAAGGTAAAGGAAGAAGCCTCTATGTTGAGATTCTTCGCCAAAAGATCCTTCATGTCCTTCTTTGCTGTTTTGTTCGAACACAGCAAACCTATTGGATGGTGTTTGGTATGTGTTGTGTCGATGGTCCCGTTTAGCAAAGTTGTGTGGAGGTTTGCCTAAGGTGAAGTCAAGATATGGAAGTGTTGCCTTTCTTCCTGAAAATCTCTTTCACACAAGTAAAGAGAACATTAATAAAGTGGTAAACAATTGTAAAGGGCTTGCGTTACAGGAGAAGTATTGAAGTGCAATTGAAACAAACAGATGGCCTGTATTTGTCATGGGAGGAGGATTCTTATTTGTTATCATTTCCCTCTGCGGGTGGCTGGATTTGTAAAGTGCAAGGTGGGTTTGCATTTCCAGTAAAACTGTATCCGTAATATGTTCTTGAAAGCCAAGGCAAAAACAATTTAATGTTCACAGGCTTCTACATTTTGACAATTTACTGTGACATTTTATTGATTAGCATGTGTTTTTATGAGAGCTTATGAGAATTAAGTTTGTACATGAATATAGCTTTCCTGTGTTAAATGGAATATTAAGAAACAGTTCCTCAGTTGTGTCCCTTTAGTCAACGGATTTGTTGTTTGTATTATACATGTTTTTTAGTTTTTTTTTTCTCGGTATTCCAGAGATTTTGAGCCAGTGAGTTGTGAATATTCTGTGTGGCACCACAGTCAGTGAACTGCTGTTGTGTTCAATGTGATGTTGTGGTTTTTATATGGTGGAGACAATAAGTACATTGGGTGTGTTTTATGTACTTGCAGTTTTCTGTCAAAAGTAATGATTATAGAATGATAAAATATTCTCTTATTGTGCATTTGGGTATTTCTAACTTTGTGAAAGATTTTACACACAAAGATGGCCAATTAAAAAGAAATTCCTGTTAAACCAGCTTTAAGATTTCTACAAAACTATTAAAAACCCTTTTGGCAATGGCCAACCATATTTAAAACAGGAGCAATGGCGGTCTCTGGTGGCTGACCAGGACTACTGTCACTCAGAGTGCAATCATGTCAACATCTGCGCTGTAATTCAAACTCCTAAAAGATGACTGTGTGGTAATATGCATGCAGGCCATATTAGAAGAATGGCCACAATCACCGAAGGCATCATAACTGTGCTTCTTTTGAAAAAATAATGAAATCTTGCAGCATATGATTTGTATATACAGTTGACACCAGTCTTGCTATACAGTATCATGTGTACACACCAACAATCAAGTAAAAATGATTGATTTATTGGAATTTTCAATTTGTCATGCACTTTGTGGTATTTGTATCTTAAATAAATATTTTACAGTATTTCTACACCCAAATCTTTAAGTATTTATAATATGGGAAATATACTGAGGGTAAAAGATAAACTCTATGATGGTAAAAGTAGTTTATCAAGAAAAGGATTCTTAAGTGTAGGACACAGTGGTCATACTCAGTGACACATATCTGACTTGTGTATAAATCCTAAAAATAAATACAAAAATTTGTAAAATCCCAAGTCATTCTATAATAAGTATTTTTCTGCTTCGGACACATTGTGCTCCGTTGAGTCTCAGTGTGCCTCTATACATGATGAATTACAATGAAAACTGATTTATTTTGTGCTTTAGTATTGGGGATGTAAACTACCGAAATGGTGAACAGTTTGTTTCATTTTAAAGATGTCAGTTATACTATTTTAAGTCAATAAAATGAAATAAAAAACATCTCTGTGAAATTGTTTCTTTTGTGTATTGCAAACAAAATCCTTATGGGATTTGAAATATAAGGTTTTAATTTGTTCTCAGATTTGCATCTGAGCCCTAAATTCTGCAGCTGCAGTATGAGGAAGCAGGTGAGCAGTTTCAGTCATGCTGTGTTGAAACGATTTTCTGTTTGTATAAGTTGAGTTTTTTTTTCTTTTCTATATCAATAATTGATGAAGACAATGTTGAAAAGGGAACATTTAAAGATTTGTTAGAATGAAGTATGCCAGAAATCTTGGTACTAGCTTGATTGTCAATTTTTTGTGGTTAGTAATTGCTGTTGTATTGACATGATTCGCCATCGAACCTATTTATATAAATAATGCCAAAGTATTGGCCAGTCTGTTATTCAGACAACATCCACCGTCTCTATTATGATTATGGCCATATTATGTTAGCACAGGGTCATAGAAGTCCCTTAAATAATTTCTAAATGTCCAAGGGGAATTGCATTTTTTTCTACATTGCAATAACTCAGGGGTGACTTTTGCCCTTCATTCAAGTGACAAACACATCAGGATGATGTAAATTAGGATATTTGCACTTACAGACAAATTCAGTGGAGGATGATAACTGTGGTTGTTGAAAAGCTACTCCTTCACAAACAAAATATGCTTTGTCTTATGACATGAAATGATTACTTCCAAGTGTAAAGTTTTATTTCAAGTGTTATGTCAAGTCTGAATCATTATAGGAAACAGAATGTAGAATGAAAAGGTTTTCTTTTGGATTTTTTCCACAAAAAGGTCACAATCTGCTTTATGAATATTCTATATAGCAATTTCAAAATAATACAGAATCTGATTATCTAACACTAGTCAGGAGTTGTTTTTTTACTAGTCTTTATTTATTATTTTTTATTTATTCACCCTTTCCAACATGGAATTGAATCAGATATCTTAAGATAAGGATTTTAATGGGGAGACTCAGACGTATGCCCTTCTTCATGTTTTTTTTAACCCTTAAATTGCTGTTAATATCATTTTGATTATTTTGTGCAAAACACTTTTCTTTTTACACTATGTGGGTGAATTAGAAATATCAGAAAACCTGCTGGCATCTGTTGGCTGGACACAGCTGAAGCTTATTTGCTGATTGAAGGGATGGACTTTGAAGTGGCTGTGACGTGTAGCAAAACAGGAAACTTTTTTGGACAGATCTGAGATTACTTACTTATCATACTTAAGCTGATGAAATAATTGTCTTATATCTGATCAACATGACTCCTGTTTCACTGTCTAACAGAAAAAAACTCACTAATTGTCTAATGTCAGTTGCATAAACAAAAGTTTTTTTTTAACCTGTCCACACTGCTGCATGTTCTCGTGATGAGGCCTGATGAAGTTAGTGAGGGGGAGTCTCAGACAAAGCCAAATTCAAGATGGCCATAGAGACTAGACATGTGATGAGGAAAATACCAACTTCATGTGACCCATGGCTAAGGAGCGGCTCATAGACGAAGACAAATACCCACTTGTGTCGATTTCCTCAGTCTTCACTAAACCAGTGAGGAGAATCCACAAGTCAGGCAAGTAAACTGCATTTGAATGATTTTAAACCTAACAGAAAAGATGTATTTTTGCTGTACTGTTGTCTAAGCTGAATAAAAATATAGCATTGACATAGAAGTTTACATTTGCAATTGATTTAGCTCATTTGTTTTAAAGTGAAGTCTATATATAATTTTGGATTTTACCAAAGACTAATCGAAGGACATGTTTAGCTGGCCAGGTTTTCTTTGTTTAGGTAAACACAGTTTAAAGAGTGGGTCTTTCCAAAGGTCAGGATCAAGAATAGAAATAATTATGTGTAGTGATGTCTATGTGAATGCTTGGTTCTTGTTTTGATTTCTAAACTAAAGAAGGAAATCATTGTATTATCATTTACAGGGATCAAATTAGCATCAGGACTCTAATTGATTCAAAGTTTGAAAAATTAAATGTCTTGGAAAAATACTATCTATATTTTTATGTTATGTGGCAGTTTGAAAAAATCTTTTTAAGGACAATAATCAAATGTAACTTTATTAACTATCAGACATAAAAAAGAGCTCTGTTACATCATGGGCTAAACATCTGTACCGTAGATTGTGCAAGTTTTTATTTATTTTTATTTGTTTCTATATTGCTACTATTGATGTTTTTTTCTTCGTAGTGTCTCTGGTTAGTAACAATGATACATAAAAGTTACACATAAATACATTGAATCTTCTAAAACAGATACCCATGTCTCTGAGATTATTTAAGTACAATTTGAATATTACAACGATGGTCTGAGGAAATTAAAGAAAAATCTATTGATATAACAGTAATTTATTTTAAAATTGGGGCAATGAGAACACATTTGACATCATCACACTTTGTGTACATAAATTAATGTATAGATGAAAACACAAGATACAAGGTAAAATTTAAAACTTCAGGCACAGCCTCTAAAATGAATGGAAAGAGATATCCGAACTTGTCTTCTAATTGTTATTTTCAAGATACATTGAATATGCAATGAGACTGAGAGATGTTTTTCTTTCTCCCTTTTCTTCAGCCTGTGCAGATCTGCTTCTATCTGGATGAAGCCAGCGTGGTCATAATGCACACTATTAAGACGGTAGAGACTCAAGTTCCCTTCCTTAAAGAAAGTTTCTTCATGTCAACCTTCAAAGGCAGGAGGAAGAGCAGTGTCACACACATCCTACATAAACAGCAGCACTCACTTCTGAATCAACAGCAGTGCATTTTAGAGCACCAGCAGCACAGTCCTCAGCATTTTAATCCCAGCCCAGTTGAAAATGGAGCAGGACAACAAACTCCTGAGCATCAGCGGCTTGCTCGCTCTGTCAGCAGTCCGTTATGCAAGACACCCGAGCTCGCGCGAGCAGATGGGGAAAGGAAGGAGGGGCAAAAGGAGAGAAAGGCTCACATAGGAAGTGAGGATGTGCAGGGGAGGGGAGGGGAGCGTGCAGCTGTCAGAGCCAGTTCCCTCCTCCTCTCAGCATCAGCAGAGCTGGGGGAGCTGGCATCATCCTCACAACTGCCATTAACTGTGGTGGGAAGACAGCAGGGATTAGCTAGCTCTGGGAGAGCTCTAGCAAACCAAGGACCATCAACAGCAGCAGCCCAGGACGAATCCCATTATGCCCCGGCCCGACCCCAGCAGCATGGCCTGCTAGCCAAGGGTGTTCGTCTACTCAGGAATATGGGCAACCAGGAAACCAAGCAAAGGAAAGCAGGGGGAAGTGGTGGAGCAACAGGGGATGTCTCCTTTGAGGGTGAAGCGGAAGAGAGAGAAGTGGAGAAACAATCCAAGAAATCCCACAATAAGATAAGTAAAGGAGGAGGTGACCATGGCAGTAAGAAGAAACAAAAGTCAGAGTCAAAGGGTTCTATGTTTTCTGGAATGAAGATCAGGAAGAGTTTATCCAAGGTAAAAGGTTTGTCTAAGGATGACACGTTAGAAGATGCAAGACCAGAACATGTTGGCAGAGCTGAGACAAAGCCTGGTGCAGAAGCTAGCCATTCTGCGGTTGATATGGGCATGTTATCAGATACCGAGAGGGATCTCAGTCGTTTGACTAAAAACAGTCCACCGTCTGTGGAGGGGTTTGGCCGAAAGATGAGCTCTGGGTCGGATGCTGACCTGTACAGCTTTCACTCTGCATCAGCTGAAACTGAAGATTTATTTTCTGATATCCAGCAAACCATTCGAAATCAAGGTGTGGTCAGTGACATGCTGATGGAAATTGCACCAAGCCCTTCAAATGGAGGGCTGACTTCCAAGACAGTCACATCTCCCCATCTGGAAAAGAGGTCGTTCTTCTCATCTGTTAATGAAAGTGTAGCTCAACAACTGCAATCTAAGAAAGTAGAGACTGATAACACTGAAATACCCATAACAAGAAATTCATCGACCGAGAGTGGTCCATCATCTTCAGCTGAGAGAAGCAGTGGCAGCATTTTCCCTAAAACTAACAGCACTCTCAGCTTCCAGGACACTACTCCCACCACCACCACCAACACCTCATATGAGAGTGCTGAGGAGCCCCAAGATGATCTGGAGAGCCCAGATCTGGTTGTAGAGCCAACTCAAGAAAACTGGGCTTCACAGAACAAAATCACTTGCTTGTCATCTGGCCTGTTGGATCCTATATTTACAGGAACAAGCTCTATTGGAACTCACAAGAGTGCAAGCAGCTTGGACCTGTCTGTTGAGAGGGATGAAGTGGAACGTGCCAGACAAGACTTTCTGTCTCTTAAACGAAGGAAGAGTAGCATGTCCATCAGCTATCTGACAGTAGACAGTCCCCCTGTCTCCCAGACTCGACGGACATCTGCAAACTCCCCTACATCTGTCAAACTCTACCCTCCGGTCCACCCATCCTATGTTAAGACAACCACACGGCAGCTCACGTCTCCAGTTGGTTCCCCCCTCACCAGTCCCAATGTGCCACGGAAAACTGATAACACTGAGTCCGTGGACTCCAGCAGAGCCGAGGGGTCACTTAGGCGCAAGCTGAGGTCTTGCTCCATCACGGGGACCCATAGTGACTGGTCTGAAGACCTAGATGAGCTGGGAAGAGATGAAAATTCTGTGACTAAATCCTCAGAGCAGGAACCCGCAGACAAGAGTAACACAAGTGGTATCTACTGGACTTTAGGTTCAAAGAGATCACATTATGGGAGGAAGAGCTCAACTTCTACAACATCCTACCTGGATGTTTTCTCTGGTGAGTCAAATATGAAAACATTTTACTACATTATCAGTGCAGGAGAAATGTTTTCTGAAATGAATACTATTGGTAGAAAAATGTTCAAATAAATATCTGGTGTTGGAAGACCTAAAATACAGGATTTCATAAAGACCTTATTCATTCCAAAAGCCCCATTAGGTCAGATGTGACTTTAGGATCTGCACCTGCACAGTCAAATTAGGTCATAACTTTGAACCTACTAGAATCTTCTCCTCATGTAGGTTTAAGTAGCTTTTGCATCTCACAAATCATTTCAGCAGGATTTTTTACTTCAAGATGGAGCAACAGCTCATGAGAGTAAAGATGAAACGGTAAAAGGGTTTCTCGGAGAGACATGCCTTCAGAGCAAACATCTCCCTTTAATCAGACAATGTCGCTCTGTCCTCTTTTGTGCTGTGGGGCCTTTGGTGAGCTCAGCTGTTGTCTACTGTCTGTTGATGTGCTCATACAGAGTAAGCTGCCGCAGCACCCACCAACAGTGATGCTCTCCTCAGATTGCACTGGCTCAGATGCACACACTGGCTCAGACACACACACTGGCATAAACACATGCACGCATTGGGCATTTGTTGATGTTAAACACAAGTGACAGTTTGTCTTCATGATAGAAATTCGTCATGAAATGAGATCCACTTGAATTTTTTCCAGGTAAACTAAATGCACCAAACAAGAGAGGCACATTGCATCTTAGATCCACATTGAAATTTGAATGTTGAACTTCCATAGGTGGTAATTTGTCGTGTCTTCATATATAAATTTACAAAGTGGATGTATCTGGATTTGAAAGTCTAAGTAATTTAGTTGTTCTGTAACTTGCATAATTTGTCCTTCCAATAAAGAAGGGAAAAAAGATAACACTTGTTTAGTTCCTTTCAAACTTGTCTAAACCTTAATAAACCAACAGCACAACCTAGTGAATGATAAGATTCTGATGCTCAACAAGAAATGATAATATTCAAAATGTTATATCCTAGCCAGGAGCTGTGGCAAGAAGACAAATTAAGCACTCTTCACTGAATTTTCTGCTCACCAGGGCATTGTATTTTCAATGCATTGCTATTTATTCAAATACAGAGTTTGCAAGCTACAAAACCACATTTAAAGTTTTAACAAATAACACCAAGTCTACTCACCTACATGCAAATGGTGTGAACTGTGTTTGCACATGGAGGTGTTTAATTATCACGTCTAAATCTGAAGCATGTAAAAATTGCCCTCATCTAGTTTCTCAGTGATATCAGAGTATTTGCCATAATATAAAAAAGTAGAGCACAGAATAAAAATTCTTATTGTGCTGCTCTCACAAAAACACCTTTGCTCTGTTATCAGGTCGTACCCTGTTGGACAGGCTTTGTTTACATCACGGAAATGGGTCTGCAGAGGAGGAAGCAAAAGAAATGTGTCACCGAATGCTGGTGTATGGTCTGCTGCAGCCCTTCACTGACAGTACCACGGAGCACCACAGCGATGGGACAGTCTCAGCTGTCTTCAATGTGAGTTTACTCCCTTCACTATCTGCCATCACACTTGTTTCACAAAACTGACCACACACAGTAAGTTCAGGTTGAGGTGTTTCTTTGCTAATTTTTTAAATTATAGGAGCAGAAATTTGAACGTTTAAGGGTGGATTCATTTTCATGTGCTCCGACTATATAATCTACCACTTTAAAACTTGTCCCACTTTTACTGCAAACTATATTTCAAAATTCCTGATTCTTTGTAGATTCTTATTTAGTAAGAGGATTTGGCCCAATGAAATAGTTGCTTGCCTTACCTTCTTGTAGTGTTTCAGTTTGAAAACTATGAACTGGTGGGCAAAAGATATGCTATGTAAATGTTATGCAAATGTAATCCAGTATGTTTTACTATGGTTTGTGTCCTATTTGATTTGATAACCTGATGAGCAGCAATGGATGTAGACAGTGACTTTGCGAAGGCTGACTTCATGAATCTTTAATTTTCCATTCCAGTAATGCATAGCTCAAACCTAATCATACATGCCTCACAGTCACTTGCACTGTTCACTACGACCCTTCAAAATGATTTTTATCATGTTAACATGATGCTGATTCATTTAACTGATAATTATTTCATGTTCTGTAGGTTTGAATTAGAATACTGAATAACTCCGGTCATCCATCTTTGTAATCCCACGTGGTTTTGTATAATTTTATCTCAGAGAGAGATTTATTGTATGTGTCTTACACTTTAATGAAAATTGAAAATGTTAAATATGCCAGTTTAGAGTTACTAAAGTCCAGTGCAAAAGGACAAGTATGAGGTACTCATAGATGTTCAGGCATTTTCTCTCATGACTAGATTAATGGCATTCCCTCTGACACTAAGTCTTGCACAGGAACACAAATGCATGCTTCAGTAGACCATCTGCTGACCACGTTACGTAACAACTCCACGTGCCTTGGGCTCAGGCTGCTCTTCCATGGCAAAAAGCTCAACATGTCAGGATTGAACATTGTCCCTACTCTTGTCTTGCCCTGAAGGGCAGCATTATTCAACTTGGCCATGAATAACCTTTACTGCAGTCATCACAAGTGCAGATCTCATTATTAAGGATTTCTATCTTGTAGCTCCTTAGACTTGTAAAATGTATTCTCAGTCATTCTGTCTCTCATTGGAATGTCTTTTTATACATCAAATATTTATGTTCTCTAAATCCAAAATAAAGTTACTTTTAGAAAATAAATCACTTTTTGCATCTACAATTTTTTTTTCTCTGCAACAATTTTTTCCATTTTCTTAACAAAACATGAATATCATCTTCACTGTAATAGATATATTTTTTGGAGTAAAGAAATTTATGAGAAACATCTATCTCGGTTCACATTTGGCTTCAGAATTAAATTGGCCTGTGGACATTTGGTAAAACATATCTAGCAGATGAATACTCTTTGAGCATGATTTTATTTAAGTTTGGGCTCTGAGAAAGCCACAAAATACAGCTCATGTCTTTGAAAAAAGTGTAACTCTTCATGCTCACATGACCACATATTGATGCTAAATAGATTAAGCAGGTTGACTACTTAATAGTGTGTTGGTCTGTGTGTTATCCTGCGATGGTACCCGGCCTCTTGCTCAATGACATCTGGGACAGGTTGTAACCCCTAGGACCCTGAATTGGTAAATGAAGGTACAAACATAAAATAAGTACTTATCATTATGGAAATTAAGTCAAACCTTTATTAGTAAGGCTACCTCATTTCTCTACAACAATTCTCTTCTCTCTTAAAACTTACACCCAGAAAATGTTCCTTCCTTCCTTTATGAGCTGGTTCTGCTGATAGTCATGTATATTATCACCCAACTTTAATAGACCAATTGCCTTTTGTATTAAAAGTCACACTTTTCCTGTTATGGATCTTTAGCCGATATTATTTCTGTAATTTGATTTAAGAAAAACTACTAAACTTGTCACAAAAAGACATTTTTAACTGTTTTTAATTGCATTTGTTGACTCTTAATGTAAAGAATTTTGTTCCTGTCAATATTTAGTGGTCAAGAACTCAAACAAAAATTTCTTCAGATATGAATTACTTACTTTGTTACTACCATATGGTTCTCTAGTGAAAATCTGTTTCTTATGCAAGCTTTATAAATGTTTTTACCTTAGTAATTTATCCGTACTATAAATACTGACAGACCTGGGACTAGGGACTGCAGAATGTCAGAATTTTATTTTGGATGCTTTTAAGTTACTCAAATATGTGTGGATAACTTTCAATTATGGACAATGATACTAATGCAAAGAGGAAATATGGCCATGGTGAGACGCATGGCTGCATCTCACCATATCGAAAGGCCCCACTCCTCAGAGGAGGATGACTCCTTTATTGTATCAGGTGTATTTTCATATTCTTGTTTTCTAAACTATGTGAAGGAGGAGCAGCTGTACACCTGGGCATCGGTGGGCCTCCCGGTGTCTTCCCACCTGTGGGAACTCTATGGGGGGCGGACTTCAGGCCGTGTGCAGCGTTTGAGATCCCCTTTGCATAGATCGACCAAAACCCCTGGTGCTCTGCACTTTCAGGTGGGTTACACCGTCTGCGCATCAATCAATACTTCATGACTTGTATGGTTCATTATAAATACTTTGACTTTCTATTTTAAAACCTTCTAGATGTAAATACTCTGTACAATATATTTTTAAAAACTTGTAAAAACCAAATAATCTACATGGATGAAGTTTGGATTTTTTTTTTTTTACCAGACTGACACCCATGGACACAAATTTGTCATGGTATTTTACGAAACAACATAATGACAAAATACAAATTTTAAACTAGATGCACAGTAAGCTGAATAAATAAAAAACTACATTTACAATGCTGATTAAAAAAATGGAAGATTAAGATTTTGAAGAATTCTAAGATTTTTATCCTTCCTCCTGCCCAACTTTATATTTCTCTCATACTAAATACACAACATTGTCCTAAGTAATCTGAAAGTCTAAGTAAAGACAATAGCCAAAAAACAAAGAATATTAGAATTTTTATTATAGAAAAGACTTTTGAATCTTAATTTTTTAACATGAAAAAAATTAATATTGGGAATGCCAATGGTTATAAAAGTAGCCGATTTAAAAAAAAAAATAGCAGTTTAATACTTTAATGGTACATTGCTCCTTGTCCACCAGAGGTCAGACTTGTTTTGACAGAAGGTTAAATTACAACAGAAAAAAACTATTCTTGCTTTTTAGAACTCAAAGTGGATGAAATGAATAAAACGGCCTTTGTGGCTAATCATACTCTTTAAGATGCAATAATGTGAACACAATTTGGAAATATGTAAAAGAAGCCAGAAATTCCTTCCAATATGAGGCCCAGTGAGACTCGCTGTCTCTAGGGTCAAATCTCTTGGTATCCCCTCATCCCTACTCTAACCAGTCTGGAGCCAAAGGTCTGACAAAGTCTAGACATTATGGATTTCATGACCTTTTCTCAGCCTTTTTGCTTTGGTAATAAGCCTGCTTAGTTTTGGGTAGCTGGCTATGAACGTATTCAATAATAAGGTGCCGGATATAGTTTTACATAAACATAATGCATGTACAAGCAAAATGTATTTTATTTATATTTTTTCAAGTGGCAAAATGTACATTTCTTTTTTGCACTCTTTTTTTTAACCTTTCTTATTGATAAAATTTGAATATATGATATTTGTTTTTCTCTTTTTATATTTTATTTTCCATCTGTCTGGTTCACTGACAGACAGAATCCAGTAGGTTGAAGTCAGGTCTGTCATCCTCAGAAGATGAAAACGGTGTCATCCCTCACCTGGAGAAAACAATTGATGATCTGCAGGCTAAGATTGCTGCGATGCAGGACCAGCAGGCCTCCTCTGCGAAGAGCGCTGGAGATAAAACAGGAGCCATAGGTAGTGGGCACCTCAAAATGCTGCAGATGAGGGAAGGAAGACCGGAGAAGATGAGCCAGGAGGTTTCTGTTCAGACCTCACCTGTGGATGACGGGTTCAAGTTTGATGTGCCTTTGAACAAAGGATCCTCCATCCCCAAATCTAGAGAAAGTTTTGTGTGCACTTGCCAGCAGAAGCAACAGAGCACCCCCCACCCTGTTCCTCCACCTCCCTTAATCACAGGCAGTATGCCCCCACCACCTCCACCTTTACCAGGGGCAGCCATCCCTCCACCTCCACCCCCACCTCCTCCTTTACCTGGTGTTGGGCCCTGTCCACCTCCACCCCCTCCTCCTCCTCCTCCACCAGGTTTTGGACCTCCACCCCCACCTCCTCCACCACCAGGTATGGGTCCTCCCCCTCCACCTGGAATGGGCCCCCCTCCTCCGCCCCCACCCCCAGGCTTTGGCCCTCCGCCACCACCAGGTCCCATGCCGTCCATGATGCTCCAGGAAACTGGCCCTGCCAAGGCTATGATAGAGCCCCCCAAGCCAATGAAGCCACTGTACTGGACCCGGATTCAGATCCCCACAAAAAAGTAAGGATATGCTTTAGAATTTGGAGATAGATATGGATCGCTTGCGCAAAGATTTTCTCCGAACGGTAGAGATTTGAGAGGAAGCTTGTCCACTTAAGATAAAGATCGTCCACATGCTGTAACGATAATGGAGATGCTAACATTGTGGAAAATAAAAGAGATGCAGTCCAGGCATTGTGATCAGCAGAGAGTAGACTGGAATGGGGTTTTTTTTCCTTCCTTATTAGGGCTTGAAATTCTGTAGCTGGGTGAAGCCTACATGCCACTGAATTGGTTAGCTGTTGAGTTTGACATGTATATACGGTATGGATTCTGTGGCGTTTATAATTTGTGTCAGAGACGGTGTTAGATGCACCTTTTTGTATTTTAACCTTTCTGTGTTTTGTTTTTGTTGTTTTGCTCTGCCTTCAGAAGTACTGGCTCACTGGTGTGGGAAAACATTGAAGAACCCACAGTAGATTTTGAAGAATTTGTGGAACTTTTCTCCAAAAGTGCCGTCAAGGAGAAGAAGAAGCCCATTTCGGACACAATCAGCAAGTCAAAGGCCAAACAGGTACACATATTCTGATACTTTATAATCGTCTGTTGTTAACAATATTGGTACAACAGATTTTTTTTCAGAAATAAGGCACTTATCCAGTCCTGGATTTCCCAATCCTCACTTCCACTCCTCTTATGACTCAGTCCTTTCCATTTCTCCTCACTGTCGCTCCGAGAGTTGCTTTGAGTGACGGGAGGAACTGCTGCAGTCAGACAGTTATTATGTGGTGTGAGCTCTGGCTCCCAACCGACTCCCTTGTGACCACCTAGTGGCACCGCGCCAATGACTCGCGTGCGGTGAAGAAACCTCACGGCCAGGATGACTGCCGAGAGAGAGTGGAGAAGTGAAATGAGTCGAGGAGTGGGAAGCTTGGGAGTTGTATTTCATACTATGGTTCCTCCCATTGTGCTTTCTGAATGACTTAGTTTAATAGCCAGACTCTTTCCCTCCCCAGTGCACATTATGCCACTCCATCAATCTGCAGTCAAACATCTGATCTACAGTTCAGAACTGCTGTCAGGATACTAAAGTTGATGTGCTGTTTGTCAAAAGTAAGTGTTTAAATCACATATGATGTGGCTCCAGGGAAGAACATTTCACCCATCACCCATAATTGATACTCTACGGGATCATTTGCAGTCGTTGTACAGGTATAATGTTCGTATCAGGCGTACATTGTTGGGAAATCCTTTCACTTTATGGTAAGAGTTTAATGAAAAGTCAGTTGGTGACATATTTTAGTTTTTTAAAAACTGTGTTTAAAAAACAGTTTCAGAAATATTTCAAATTTAAGTGTTTAATTACATTCCAACAACAACAAAAAAATCATGGTTGGAAGTCAATATATATGTAATCCAGTTTAGTATTTGGACTAAAATGAGTTTTCTCTTTATAAAAGATATTCTTTTGAATTGATGGACATCATTTTTTAAAAAGGTTGCAGGAGTTATTTTGGTATATCTGCCAGTGAGTTACTTAAGAAGGAAAAAAAACCTTACCAACCTGAATTTGAAGTCCACATCTGGCATGTATACAATTCTTAAACACTCCCTTCCTAGACCTTAACAGTTGATAACATCTCTCACCACCTCAATTATCCTCATCCTCCTGGGCACTGTGAACTCGGCTGCTTTTTGACATGTATCCTCCTAAGAGCTACCACCAGACAGCATCTATGATCATCGTGACTTGGCCACTTTAAAGGCCTCAGAAGACATAATAGCTGTTAAGAATTACTGTCATTGCCCAGTGTCAAGGGTGAACCCCTTTTATCAATCGTGAAAAACTTGAGGGTGAACTGTCCAGCTGCTGCCTTTTTTATTTTATTTTTTTTACAGTGAGGTGCACTGAAAGAGTGAATATTCAACAGCTTCATAGTAGGAGATTGGCATCTGTTCAATACCGGAAATGATAAATGGCAGCATTCATTTTGAAAGAATCTATATTTGTTCAAGTTTTAAAGTGATGTCCAACTAAAATTCAAACACAAAACTTTTATCTAAATCAATAAGTAATCTAGAAACATTGTTTCTGCTTATTTGTCAGTCGTTTGGCTTCTAGTATGTCGGAAAATAATGAAATAGGCCCTTATCCCAAAAGATAGTCAGTTTATGATCATAAGAGATAGAGAGGCTGTAAATTATCTGCAGCCTTGGTATTCTTGTCTGAAAAAATGCTTTAAATCCTCTCTAGTCATGCCCATAGCTATGGGTGGGGGGTTTAAACAAATAGTCTTCCATAAATCATATTTCTCTGTTTTTTTCCATCGACAAACGGTCAATTACCAGCTTGGAATTCTTTAAATGGTATGTGCATCTTCTCTTTCAATAAAGAATTCAGACATCTTTCCAGACTTTACCAGTTGGATAGAGTATGTCCCCTGCAATGCTGATATATGTGCAATGTTGTTTTCCAAATCTTGTGCAAGATGCCTTTCAGGCCAGGATTGACCTCAAAACCAGCAGGGATGACATGGGAAAAATATTGCTTGTTTTTATAGCCACAATTTTTTTTTTTCTTAATTTAAATTTTCATAGAAATATATATGATAAATAAATAAGCTGTTAAAATGGTATTGTAGAATATCCAAAAGACACACAATGTTTAATGCATTTGGTTTATCAACTCAATAATGCAATTATTCAAAAAGAGGTTCTAACAAGAAGACTAGAGCGCAGAGAGTGAAGAGTTCCTGGGGGCTAATGTTAGTTAAGAGATTGGATAAGGAGATTGGCTGTCGGTAGTTATGTACATAATGGGGATTTCTATACACTGACTCCATATAGGAGTCAGTGTGTGAGGTGTTAGATTTAGAGATGTCTGAAATGAAAATTAAACAGGTTGACCAAGCCTTAAATGATGCACTCATTAAGGGCTACTTCTAATTAATATTAACAAAAGTATTTCTTTTAACCCAAAATCTATGAACATTTGGTTCCCATGAGGATATTAAAACATTGTGTCAGATCAATCTTTCTGGGTATTTTTGTTGAAAACGTTAGACATAAAAATTTCAGTCATGGTTGATGAATGGAGCTGTTTTTTATTATGAAAAGAAAAACTAATACATTTCAAGAGTTTTCATTTCAAAACATAAAGAACAAAGTGAACTCTCTCTCTCCTAGACTGTGGCCCTTTTTGTACTTTTAAACGAATCCAGCTGGGAAAACGTGATTGAAGACGATATCACGACTATCAAGCAGTCACCCAATGTCACAGTCTCATGAGAGAAGCAAGCCAGTATTCCAGCTCAGTCTCCCTGCCCCTCCAAACTGTGGCTGGGCTGGGCAAAACAGACAGTTGAGGCCTGGTGATATAACTTCCTGTGTGTTTAAGAGGTCTGTGGTCTGTGTGATCTGGTTTCGATGGCAGCGTTCTGTCTGGATCACAGTGGGCTGCAGGTTTCCTGTCCTGTCCGTTTGCCACTTTGCAACCCAGTGAATGCTTCTGCTTACTCAAGCCAGCTCAAGCGAGTGGCTCATGTCTCTCTTTGGATGTATTTCTTCTTGAATGATAACTCTGGCTTGACATCCAACACCTGTTGGTTTGACAAGTTGGAGCTTTTAACTTAATAACCTAAAATTCTATTTCTTTAAGATCTTTTGCCATGGGTTTCCATGGTTTCAGTTGCAAGCTATGATTACAACTTGATTAAACTTGCTTAGCCTTAAGAGTGTCCCCAACATGGGTAAATAATATGAACTCTGCTCTGAAAAAGCCCCCCTGTAATATCCCTGTTTTCTGCTCACATCTCCTATCATTGTCTTCTAGGTTGTGAAACTGTTGAGCAACAAGCGTTCACAGGCTGTCGGCATCCTGATGTCCAGCATTCATCTTGATATGAAAGACATTCAGAATGGTAAATGTTATGCAGTCCTGCTCCTAACTCTATCCTTCCAGTAGCTTTGACACTTAATGGAGATATAACACAAGTAATTTTCAAAGGGATATGTATTGGTACATTGGTACATTATGAGTAAACTGAAAATGTTACTTTTATCCATCGGATTGTGCCAGTGGTACTTTTCAAATGTATTCAAGTGCAAAATGGATTAGCTAATTCATTGATGACAAGAAAGAAACGAACAGTTTTTGGAACTTTGCCACCATGAAAAACCTTTTTGCGCCTTGACAAACGTTTGAGTGAATTCCATGCCTTAATCTCATGCAGGCTTCATTACAGTCAAAAACTTTGTGTCTGCAGCTTGTCACAAAACACTGCAGCTCCACTCCTGACAGGCGCTCATGATTGAGAGCTCTTTTTGTCTTTTTTGATTCCATGTGCTTGTTTCTGCAATTTTTTTCTCTCAAAATGTACTATTTGTTTTTACGTCTTCGTATGGGTGAGCTCCTTTTTGTCCTTGCGGCTTTACGCTTCCCCAGAGATCTCTGAGATCAACTGAACAGATGCCCATGGCTGTAATGAGGCATATTTTGCATTGTGTGCATTATAGATATTTTTCATCACAAATGACATCTTGTACATACTGACTTTGGTCTCTTCCAAAGTAGAGGAAATGTAAAGGTTCCACAACAGTGCCAACTCAAAACAGTTCACAACTGTTCTTTTTTCAAATCTCCCAAGTGATTGGGAATCCCAGCAGAGAGAACCTCTTAGTTCCTCCTAATTAAAATGTGTCTTTTGGTAAATGGTTTTGGTTTATGACTGAATACCAACTCCAATTCTCATCTGCATAAAGATGTTGACTGCAGATGTTGACTAAAATGTCCAAAGAGAGGTTTTCATTTGAGCCTCACAAAAGCTTTCTCGACTTCCTTTATGTAGAAATTGAACTTATGATTAGTTGCAGAAGAGATGCATTTAGTTGCATTCCAGACAAGACACATAACACATTGAGTAGGCTTGACTCACTACCAAACCACAAAGTTCAAATTATTGTCATTGTGTAGATTTTCATTGTTGGTCATCCAATTCTCAAACAAATCTTTGTCTACCTTTCAAGTGAGATTGTGCTCCAGTGACAATCTTTACCAAAGCGAGCTGACTTCATCTCATAAGTGCTGAAAGACATTTGAGCTATTTATCCATTGTTACACTCCTGCTGTCTGGTTTTTCATGCTCTCATTTTGCGTAATTGCTCCCCATTTAACACCCACATCATGTTTTTCTGCGGCTCTCTGTCTCTGATGAGTTGTCACCATCTTGTCTTGGCAGCTCTGTTGAAGTGAAGTCATTCCATCCAGAGATGTTGATGGGAACAGACTGTCTTCCTGTTATAGTTACTCTCTGATTGCTCACCAGTATTCGCTCATCTGTGTGTCCAAACACTGTTCTGTCTTCCCCTTTTCATGCCAATCCTACAACAACGTTGCATTTATTACTTCCTCAAACCTTAATCGCACTGCACCACAACACTCTGAGGACTGCTGTATTATAAAAGCTGTCTGTGGGGCAGTTTAATCTGTGTTGTTCTCTACACTCTGTGGAACTAAATGTTGAGTTATTATGTTAAATGCTGTTGATGCATTCATTTCAGGGCAGATTGGAAGGGCAAGTAAGGGCCATTCTGATTAACACAGTCATCCATCTCGTGTGTTAAGACATTGCTGCAATGGTGTATAATTAGCACTAATTGGAAACTTCAGTATATCACAAAACGTCAGATCAGAGGGGATATCTTAGTGGTTTGGTGAAGTGATTCCTGATATCATGCGCCTACACATGATTGTAGTCTTACAAAAACAGAATAAACAATGAAAGGTTTTTCATTTATTCACTTGTCCTTCATTTAAAGGATTTTACAGCATGAATAATTATATTCTTTTGATGTTCTTCACAGAACACCCAAAGGACTAAATATTGTCATTGTTGTCTTCTTAAAATGATTTAATATAATTCTGAACCATCAGGTATTCGAGATGATTTGAGAGTCAAAGTACAATTTGTTGACAAAAGCTAAGGATTCACTCATCAAAGCTATATAATTACTCCGATTAATGTTGAGAAAGAACTTTATCATGTGTTGATGCATTACGATATACTGTATCTGCCTTTAAGAAAACTGAGTAATATTTTCAGAACGTGGTGGATTTGTGACAGCCAAACCTCTCGGAGTGCATTTTTCCCTGTGCCTGCTCACAGCTGCTGTTGTTTGTACTCTTACTTGGCAGACACTCTGCATGTTTCATAGGACACTTCCGTGCTGAGTCTGCTTCCTGTGAGGCTTTGGAGCACCAGTCACAGTACTGTTGGTTGCCCGGCGCCATGCTGGGGTTGAATGTGGTGGTAGATGCGGACTGATGGTTCTGGCTTTTGGTCGTAAGAGGGCCGCATCCCAAATTGCTTTTTCCAAAGAGTCTTTTCAAACAAGCCTCAAATCAAACCAGTCAGACAGACTCTGCTTGAGATAATAATGAAAACCAAATGGTTAAAAGAAAGTGAAAAAGTGAAAGTCACAGAAAATAATGTTTCTGTCTCTTTTTTTTGTTTTCCTGCAGGGGTTTAAGTAGAGAAGTGTGTGTTTGTGTGTGAGAGACAGAGAGAGGGTAGAAAGTGACGAAGAAGGCTCAGGAAAGATTGGAAAGAAAGAAACAGGATCACATAACAGAAAAATGAATTGAAGAAGGAAGCTGAGCTTCCAGATTGGTACAGCAGCCACTGAGGACTTCTTTCCACATACCTATCATTGTTTCTTCAAAGTTTGTTTTATGTCTTCATTCCCATATCCTGTAAATTGTGTTGTAGAATGCTTATAAAATGCCCAGTCATATTCTAAGTCCAAGCAATTCTTCATTTCAAGTCTTTTCTTCCTTTGAGTCTAACATCCTCCACAGTAAATTAACAGCTCAAAACAACGTGAATTATTTCAACACTCACAGCTTGAAAAAATACATATAAAGGTGCTGAGTGCTTCACTTGGTGATTGTGCGTACAGCAACACCTCAGCTCCGACACCGCAGACCCCTGGGCTCTGTTTGTCTTTAAACATTTACTTTCAAAGGATTAATGCTTATAGGCGCCAGGTCCTCGCGCCGAGACGAAAAGGCGACACGAGGAATTCAAACACAGAAGTTCAAACGCAGATCTTTGTACCTTTGACAGATTTCTGAGTCCTCTGTATTTATAATTCTTGCATGTGGCCCCTTGCATGCTATCGTGATGATAACTGGTAACTGTTCAGACCAGCGTATTACTCGTAAAGTCAGAGTTTTGCCCTTGTTTGATTCCATCTTGATCCGTCAGATTTGACTGTCTGAGTTTTTATTGTTTTGTGTCAGCCAAAGAAAAGTTGTTTCAGTGTTGATGAAACACAGGGTGCGTTTTTCTGCAAACGTGATTTCTGACTTGTTAATGTTGTTCCTTGAAGGTAAGAAGAAAGATGTCAAATCAAGCTTTGTTAGTATATTAACACTGACCATCTCACCCTTGTCTTCCTCCTACAGCCGTCCTAAATATGGACAACACTGTTGTTGATCTGGAGACTCTGCAAGCCCTTTATGAAAATGTGAGTATGAGTACGCACTGGCATTTTTTCTGGTTAGGTTATGCAATTAAATCTTAAAAATTGCAATATATATATAGAAGGGATGATAAACAAATCAACAATGTGGATAATGGTTTCAGTAAAAACACAACATCCTAAAATGAGCTATTGTGCAAAATAGTGAATCTCAGTCTTTTTGGGTGCAGGATTACTTCTGGGAAAACCTCATTGTCAGTTTTTTTACTTTCCTCTGTGGTTAGCAGTAAATGTATTGTTTTCAAACAGATTGGATGAGGCAAATGGAATGATTTGTTTTACATATTCGGCCGTAGAATGGATGAATAAGAGGCAATCATTTTGTTATGAAATGAAACACAAAAAGGCTTAGCCGACATTCATATCAACAAAACATCAGATATCTTCATCAGATATTATTTTTGTTTTAGTTGGAATTCAACCAAAGATGAACCACAAAATAACAAATGCTTTCCTCCGAAATATGTCTTTCTGTGATTATCAAAGCATGAATCGCTGATGTAAAAGCACCATTTGCACTGCCAGTCAGAGATGCCACGTCACAGTGAGCGTTCTCTACACGGAGTTCTTACTCCATGTTCCACTTGAAAGAAATGAACAAAGGAAGTGAGTATTAAATACTAAAACAAACAGTCGAACCACAAACCATAGTGGTATGTGAGCTGTTTGGCTACAGTATCAGTCATGTGTAGGTCTGTCTGCTGGGCTGGACGGGAACCAGCTCTTTTACGTAGTAAACATGTTTTCTACACACTGGATCTAATTCAATCAACATTTGTAATGCCCCGGTGAACGGGGAAGTAATAGTTGAGAGGCTCCAAAATTTGTGTCATACAGTTTCATGTGAGAGTTCTCGGGAGGTATAAAAGAAAAAGAGAAACCACACTGAGATTTGCCAAGCCATACTACCACACTGTATTGTATAATATTAGAAAGGAATTACTGAGCTGTCATCAGTACTTTTCAGTATGTCTCCATTTTGGCCTTATATACAATAAATACATATTCATCAGTGTCCCCCACCCTGTGGAAATGGTTCAAGACCCTTTCAAAGTCAGGTCAGGAAATTATGGAACATGAAAATGAGCATGTTTTCCACATTTCAACTGTGATGCATTTTTAAGATGCTGTGAAATTCCTGTGAATTGCTTTTTGGCACAACTACACAGAATTAGCCTGGACCTTTGGCTGCCAGAGGCATATTAATAATGTTGATCATGGGAATGAGACTGTGGCCTCAGACAAGCGGTAGTTATGAACCAATGTGTCATAACTGAGGATCAAAAGTCTTCTAACCTCTCTGCTCACCCTGAGACTGCGAGCCCCCTCTCTCTCCTTCTCCCCCTCATGGCCTAAGGCTGTGTTATTGAGTTGAGGAGCCAAATTGTTTCTCTTTTGTATTGCAAGACTCCATCCTGTCTGTGGGTCTCCAGCCCCCTAAACCACAGTTGGCAGCACAGTCAGCCTGTCTTGAGGAATGTGAGGGGCTCCTAATGGTTACACCCTCACTCAATGCGCTAGAAGCTAGATCAGACTGCTTTTTCTTTTACTCACACAAACATGCTCACAAACAAACATGCTGAACCACACAAATATGCACAGACTACACTGCATGCACACAGATGGAAACACACAGAGGCAGGGGGAGAGTCACTCAGTCTGTGAGCGGTGGATTATAGCTGCTCTTTGAACAAAGCCACCACCAGTTAAAGGGTCACAGTGATAGTGGAACACGGCTCCCTCCCCTCTAATATCAAGCCGTAATCTGGGCCCAGACTGATTGTCTGAACTCCAGACTGGCAAAATGTCACTGAGGTCAAATTGAGCTCCAGCTTCTCCAATGAACATTCAGATTCCAAATGATCACCTCATTCACCTCCGTCTTACATGTTATGGCTTTAGGAAATCTTTATTACTTGATGAAATTTGTCATTTAGGACCTATTCTTTGGCAACTCGATGTACAATGAAACTCATAAATGTTGTTCCTTGAAAATTGAGTGACATAAATAGTGATTAAGCCTTGTCTGGCTCTGTTTAGCCCTGCAAAACCAAGCTAATGAATACCACTTGGCCACTGCTAGAATTCTGGCATCACAAATATCATCCCACTTTCCTATGCATTTGATATTCCACATGGGACTGTATTTCTCATGCTAACAACTATTGCAACATGCCCTAGCAATTCAAAGATCACACGCTAATGCCTACTTGTCCCCAATTACACCAAACACTGCTGGGCTCCACTGCTGCCCTTTGAAACGGATCTGCTTTGTGTTAAATATATTTACACTTGAAAACATCTCAAGAGAAGGCGAAGGAGAGCTTGCCCTTACCGACACAAGGCAGCGGTGTGTAGAATACTAATCGGACTCTCAGAATGTTTGATGTCTGTGTTTGATGTTTTCCAAGGATCCATGCCGTGGCCAAAATCTAGAGTGAAAGATGGAGGAAAATGTGGGGTGGGGGACCAGACTGTTGAGACTCAAAAGGAAAATGTAAACTCTCAGTTCTCTTCAGAGCCCAATGGACCCTGAATGGGTCTCAGGATGGTTTCATTGTATTGCCCATCTGCTTCAGAAACATTAACATTTATCATCTTGCCTCATGTGAAACATTTCTGACATTTCTGGCTTTCTTTAAACCACCTTGTATAAAACTGTGGTCCGGTGCCTGTCAGCAGGATAATGGTCGGGAATGTAACATAGCCGAAGGCAACTCTTTTGCATTTGTGAAACTTGCATTGTTTAGGCTCATATATTGTTGAGTTTATATACAAAATGCGATTTGAGAGTGCTTTTAAGTTTGAGATCAAGTTGACTTCAAGCAGAAGTTGGAGGGTGGTGGTGGGCTTTAAGAATCCCTCATTTGAATTCAGTCAAAAGAGTGTAAGGGTATTTGTTATCCTCAAACATCTTAAAACTGAACAATTTTTGTTTAAATGAAATCAGAAAAAACAAATGTCAGAATAATCTATGATTACAGAAAATACTGAGTCTTTATGTGAAAGAGGTGTGTTCTTTGTTGTTTGTTTTAACCGGGGGGTTGTGAATTTCAATTAATAAGATGGTCTATCAAGTTTTTTTCATTATTTGTCTTGTTTAAGATTAACAACTATTCAAAGAACATAAAAGTAGTCTTTCCAAATCTCAAACAGAAAATCTGTAGAATTTGCAGTTTCAACAAATTTACCAACACTTTCTCACAGTTTTTCGCATTGTTCTATGTGTAGATTCATTTTTAAATCCAGTTAGCTCATTGCATTTCTTAACTACATTATAATTAAGAAAAAAAAAAGATTTTTACAATGTTTGTTCTATTCATCCATTTCATTTTCTTCATCCTATTCAGGTCTGTCACAGGGCCATTGCACTCTCAAACAACGCCTATGGTCATTTTCCACTCATCAATCAACCTAATATACATGTTTTTGGATAGCGGGAGTAGCCTGATTACCCGGAGAGAATCTACTAATGTTTCATGGGAATAAATACAAACTTCCCACAGAAAGGTCATAGCACAGATTTGCCTGAGGAACCTGCCTGCTGTTAGGCAACGGGGCTGAGCACCGCATCCCCGTGCGCTCTGTTTGTGGAGATCTGTGTTACTCAAAAAGACATATTCAATTCATTGGGAATTGTAGGATTTTTGGCAGCAGTGTCAGCTCTGGTCTTTGGAGAATAATCTTGTAAACTTGGGATACTTTTCTTGGGGTGTTTCTTCCATTCCTTTTGATAGAAAGATTCAAGCTCATCCAGGCTGGGTGGGGACTGCTGGTGCGCAGCCACTTCTTGTGGTGTTGTACTGTGAGGTCCAGACTCTGTCAGGGTCACTCAAGTGCTTACGCAAAGTTTTTGTAATTTTCTTTTTTTTTAATGGCCGTTTTCTTGGAGAATCGTTTCAGGTTGTTGAATGTTCAATCTTGGCATATAAACTTGGCCCGAGATTAAGATTTTAAGCACTAAAGAAAGGTTGTTTTTTTTTATTCAGGATTTTTTTCTCTCCGTATCTGTCTTTTCTCCACTCAGTGTTTCGGCTCCCTGTTGCAGAAGCAGAAAAAACAACTGCTCAACAGAGATTTTCCCCAATTGTTTTTTTACTCTGCCTTGGTTTTTTCTGTCAGACGTCATATATATTCAGGATTTTATTTAGTTTTTTGCCCTTTTGTTTGTGTTAATTAGATTTAATTAGGGACAGATAGACTTATGTCAAGCTGTAGAAGCATGAAAGATCTCGAATAGAAGTAGGATGCATTACTGCAAACCAGATTACCATTTAAGGGTTTTAATGCTCAGTTGTTGTTTTTTTCTTTATAGATTGTAATTATTATGGAATAAACTGTGTGTAGATAGTTAAACAAAATCCTGTTATTAACCCCTTTATCAAAATTAAAGTCTAAATGGAAATATTTTTCCCATTTAAACATGACTGTATTTCTGTCATCTTAGTCTTGATTTTGTTATCAAGTAAATCAACCAAAATATCCTTTTTCATCCATCTTCATTCCATAAATTTTCATTTCCATTTTCACTTTCCAGAGAGCTCAAGATGATGAAATGGATAGCATCAAAAAGCACATGAAATCAGCCCAGAACAAGGAGGATGCCAAGCCACTGGACAAGCCAGAGCAGTAAGAGCCAAGCCCGCCCCCTGAAGCAAATTCAACATGACATCTAAAAAATGTGTTGGGCTGACTGATCTTGTCTCCTCATCAGGTTTCTATTGCAACTATCACAAATCTCCAATTTTTCTGAGCGTGTGTTTTGCATTCTATTTCAATCAACTTTCCACGAGTGTATCACCTCAATCATGCGCAAAATTGAAATTCTGCAGAGAGTTTGCAAGGTGAGCCACTGTACTTTTAATTGCATTTTTTTTTTCTTTCGACTCATCCATCTTATTTCTTAATTTGTGTGTACCTTAGACTCTGCATAGTAGTAAGGGTGTGATGCAGGTCCTTGGCCTTGTGTTGGCTTTTGGCAACTTCATGAATGGAGGAAATCGGTCGAGAGGGCAGGCTGATGGCTTCTCTTTGGATATCCTACCAAAACTAAAGGACGTCAAAAGCAGTGTAAGTATGTGGGTTTATGAAATTAAAGCAAATGTTATCCTTTTTTAGGAGGTAGATGGCCTGTTGATCAGTCTTGGTGGTCAGTTGGTCAGTCTTGTCAACATTCTCTCGTAGATTTATGTTAAATAAGTGACACAATCTGCAGTGAAACACAGATTTACTGCATTCTGTGATTCATCTATCCATCCATCCATTATCCTCCGCTTATCTGGGGTTGCGACGCATGCAGCCAAAGCAGGGAGACCCAGACTTATAAAATAAAAGAAATGGTGACTTGTTACGGATGAAAAGTCTCATTTTAGAATTGTCCCATCGAAGATAATCTTTTATATTGAGTCTGGAATTTGAAAGGTAACTTCCATGTTGCCAAACATCTAACTGAAGATTTAAAGGAGAAGAAACTCTGTTTACAATTCTGATTCAATATCACAATGTGCTCTGAGCGCTGCCATATAAGGAAACAGTGGTTTGTGTGTTTGTGGTAGTGGATGGAGTGAGGTATGCATAAAGAACATCAAACTTTCCACCAACTCTGAGTTATGATGGCTTGTTGTATTGCTTTTCCACTGCTATGATTTACTCCTAACTTCTAAGAACACTCGCTCAATTCTTTCTTTGCCTTGACAAATTAAAATGTTCTGCTCCGAAATGATTCAATTAATAAATAAAGGGGCTTTGGTTTATTTATTTGGATGTTTTTTTTTCCTCTTTCAGGATAACTCCCAGAGTCTTTTGTCCTTCATCGTTGCTTACTATCTGAATCACTTTGATGAGGTATGTTTTGGTTTCTGTTTATTTGAGTTGCTTCTCTGTTTTGCTCTAATTTGCTTAGAAATCCTTCCAATGCTCTCTTTTCATCTCCTTTCTTGCCAGAGGATATCATGGCTTATCCTTTTATCAAATTATTTATTTTCCCTTTTCTCATTTGCAACAGAGACAAATTTCGCCTTCGCTTTCACTCTTCATCTCCTGCTCATGATCTCCTTTGGTCTGGCTTCATTCAAACCTGCAGCCTGTTCACTGGCACAGCATCCAAAGGAGTGTTAGTGTAAATAATTAGAATCACCAGATGAGATGAACTCAGAAATGCAGCTTGCCAAAATCAACCTGCAAGATCTGGCTGTAGCTTTCATAACGTCCTCGTAGTACCTCTAATGGAGGGAAATTACATGTACTGTCTGAATGGATGAACTCCACTGGAGTCTCCAAAGACATTTATTTCAATCCCGCCCTGTGTGTGCAGAATAGTGAGACCCTTTCATTTTTGAGAGGGATTGACTTTGACGTGATGATGAGTGTGTGTGTGTGTGCGCTGTATCACCACATAGCTGTGTGTGTGATGTCGTTTACCAGGATGCTGGCAGGGAAACCTGTATCTGTCCTCTGCCTGAGCCCCAGGACCTTTTCCAGGCCTCCCAGATGAAGTTTGAGGACTTTCAAAGAGATCTCCGCAAATTGAGGAAAGACTTAAATGGTGCGTTCATCAACTTATATGCAGGTTTCTTCTCTTCTCTTCAGCCCACCAAAACCTTTAAAGTGGGAAATTACAAAAAAGACCAATTCTGAGTGTTAATATCTTTCTCATGTAATTGCTTTGTTGCTATGCTTTATCCATTGATAAATCTTAAAGCAATCCGTACACTATTGAACAAATATATTGCAGAGTGAAAAATGATTTTTTCCATACCTGACCACCTTTAGCAATGCGGGAATTGAGGAGTCAGATTAACTGAGAGATAGCATATGTTTGTCATATGTTTAATCTAAGCAGAACCAGATGTGACTTGTCAGATATAGACTCCTGCTGGGCTTGGCAAGCTTTTCATGTCCTCAAGAAGTAGAACAGTTCATGGCCAGAACTTTGCTACCTGTGAATACTATTTGGTCAGCTAAACCAAATGAACTTTGGCTCTGGACAGGAACGATCCATTCATCAAATGTAAGGCAATTGTTTCCATCCCAGGTTTCTCCAGACCACAAGTGGTGCCTTTGGAGAAGATATTAAACTCAACATAGTTCTGTGTGTTCTGAAATTAATTTGTCACTCCTGATGAAGATGTCTAAGAAATGTGTAACAATTGAAGAGTTTCTTCTTGAGCATACACAATCATCTCATGTTGTAATTTTCCATGACAGCACGTCAATATAAGAGATAAAACGCATGAAATCTGGTTAATCCTTGACAGGCCAATCTGATTGGTCTCAATGAATGAGACATTAAGGAAACACACACGCACTTTGCTGTCCTAAATCTCTCTGCACTCAACACTCTCTCCAGGACCTAAAGAACATACAGATGAGATGAAATGGCTGTGTAGTTTGTATGCCTGCAGCCTGATCAACAATTCCCCAAATTTGTTCTGTTCTTCATCATGCTTTATGCATCTTTGCTGCTAAACCAATCAGGTGCGCGGACTGTGCAGCTAAATATTGTTTTTCCTTGGCCATAATGTTCTTTTCATGGTGTGCTGTTCATTGTTTGTAATTCATAAAGATGAAGTTGCTAAAAATGGGAAACAGACTGTCAATTCCAGTGGCAGTAGCGCATGCTGGCCATTCATAAATACATCATCATAGGCTTTACCTGCAGACCTCTTTATTACCGAGCAGAGTCAGCTGAGTGCTTTAACAGACATGTGCTTTGATGACAGCTCCCATAGGGGGGTTCTGATTGGTAGATGGCGTGGAAATGGCCTTGGCGGGCCTTAAGGATATCGGCGAGTAATGCATTGAGGAGGGAGGTCACGGTGTACCTTTTTGGCTGAGGCACCATATGGTCTTTGAATTACCTCTTGCCTTCCCAAAACGCATCTCACGGCCTCCTCACCTTTTGGATGACGAGTAAATTTGTGTATCTTTTATGCTTGCAGATCAGGCTTAAAATTAAGTATCTCTCGGTGTCAACCCCACGGGCTTAGCTTGGTTCTTTATTCCTAAAGATTCCACAGTTTTATTGGGGTCAAAGTAAATCATAATGGTTAAAAATGCTATGCAAATGCTGGAAAATTGTTACTGCTCTGGAGCCCTCATTTCCCTCCTTTTGTGATCATGTTTTGGTGATTTAGCATGTTCAGCTGAAACAGACAAGGTTTGCAAGTTATCCTCTGAAGACAGCCTGCAGCCCTTCAAGGACAAGATGGACGAATTTCTCAGTCAAGGTGAGTCTGTCTATCATGTGACACTTCACATTGATTTCTACCAAACATGTTATTCTGTGTTTTTTATCTAGTCAACAAACTCTTTGAAAATATCAAAATAAAAAACGAACCTCACAGTATATAATCCTGTTTATATCCAATTTGTTTTAAAATTGTTTTAGTTTTTATTACTACAAATTTGGATAAAGATTCAGGTTTTTCAAAATATTCCACTCAACTTATTCTAAATATTCAACTGCTTTGGTCATATGCTTCCAATCCTAGTTTTATTCAAGAGTCCAAAGCTGCACAATGTTTTCGTCTTTTATTCATAATTTTTCTTAAACGGTACATGCCCCCTCTTTTTGCATTCAAAATGCTTTTTTCCTGTCCAAGATGCAAGCATCATAACAGAGGCCATCCTGATGAAGTTGAGCAATTCTTTTTCCAATGAGACAGACCTTCTAGCTGATACTACTCAAATGTCTCAGATCAATAGAAGATAACCAAGGGGGGCTAGCGAAACAATCTCACTAAGCTCTGGTCAGGAAAAAGAAGAAAAACACGTAGTGACAAAGTATATGGTGAGAACCAAAACAGGGAATTGTTTTGATACAGGGATATTGCATTTATTTGACAACATAAAATCAAGGGCAAAAAGCTTATGAACCTCAAAGTACTGGATGTTGTCATGAAAGTTGTCCGTGGTCATCAATTCTCCACCTGAAGACATAAAAACAAGCATAACGGTAGTAAATGAAAATGTTGGCAGTCAGACAGAGAGAGTGTAAATGGTTTTACAGCCGTACATATTTCTTTCTGTGTTATCTCTAGCCAGAAGAATTCATTTCGTCTATCAAAAATTCATCTTCAACCTTGGGTTTAGTATCATAAATCTTATGTTAAATTTGAAGTGTTTTAGGGTACAAATATTGTGGCTTAAACTGAATATGTTGGGAATAAGGGTCAAATTAAATTAAGAATCAAATAAAATGTTTTTTTTATGCTCTAAGTGGTTTGTCTATTTAAACATAACTACCATGTCTGAATTAATAATGAATACATTTAAAAAATGTGGTCTTTTTGATACAAAGCTTTATAGATATTATCATCATCATAATTATAGATTATGATATTTTTTAACTTTTAGGTTCTGATGTTAATCTATTCCGTATGAATGTATGATATACATTTTTTTTTTTAAAACTCCCTGAGCCCATCTGTGCCGCCTCATAGGGGTTTTAACACTCGCAATGATAAGTGCCAGTAAACATGTTCTGGTTAAATCGGACATTTGAAATTATATGAAATATCAGCATAAAGTCCATCCAAAGCGAAAACTAAATGCTTGACATTTTATGGCAATCCATCCTTTGGCTGTCCAGACATTCTACTGAGAAGCACAAATCTTAACCTCATGGTGGCATGGGATGAAAGGTTTTGTGCCAGTCCATCAAGAGGATGTTGAGATATTTGACAAGTAAAATAAAAACTTTGTGCTCCTTTTGACGTTGGAAGAAAAATCCTCAGTTCACCAAAGAAATTGGGATTCATCTTCTGAGCACAATACCAAGTTCTATGGCAGCGTAACCGAGATATTTCAGTCCAGGAGGCTGCTCGTACATTATCTGCATATCATGTGAAAATCCGCAGAGAATGTAATGGTGTTTATGTGTCATGTCTACCAGATGTCAAACAGTCGGACACTTTATCTTAAAATCTGACATGTATAACAATATTGGGATATTGTGGTCCACATCTGATGAGTAAGACTTAGCATTTTATGCTTGTTTTAACATAACAAGTCAATTATCATTCTTTATGTAGCACTGACTTTGACCCTTCATACGTTCAGTTAACTGTGACCAATCTTCCTGAAGGACCTAGCTCACAGGCCTCTGCCCAACTGCTTTTGTATTCAAATGAGAGTATAATGCATAGCATATGTTCTTCACTAGCAAGGCTCACTGTCCACTTTAAAGGAAGTCTGCAGATGAAAGCACCTCTCCCTTTTTCACCTCCGTCTCTTTTTCTTTCCATACATGTGTGTTTGAGAGAAATATGGGCGCTCTTTTTGATGCAAATGATGAGGTTTTTCCTGAGAACAGAATGTAAGCGCTGTTGCATGGACGTGTTGCTCTGAAGACTTCAGACGGGATTCTTGGGGTTCCTCTGCTGCAGCACTGAAAAAAAAAGGAACAGCCAAAAGTCTTATTTTTGTTGTTTCTGTAATTTCTAAAGAGCCTGAGGTTAAACTGTTTCTGGCTCCACAGTTTAAACCGCTTATGTTTATTTTCTGACCATGAAACTAACCACAGAATAACATTGGGAGCGGACTTGTTGGAGCTCTTATGTTTGGTCTAGCTCGATTTTCTGCGCTTGCTTCACAAATTCTCATGCATGCAGTTCTTTGATGGAGCCAATGCAGCTAGGAGAGCTCTGAATATGTGATAATCTGTTTCTGATGGATGCAAAGGGTGGTAAGATTAATGTTTGGCTTTTTCATCCAGTAACACCTCAACAAAATCTAATCAAATATACACCAAACAGCAAAATGTTGTATTTTTACTCTGCATTATGTTAAATGACTAATTAAACGGACATGATTTTGTACTTGTATTATAATGCTTTCTTTAGTAACATTTTTTTTTTTTTTAAGTTCCTGGAAATGTTCAGATTTGATCTGAAAAACAATATTTCCATGCAAGGACTTGTTACATTGTGTTATTAGCATTTAAGTGACAGTGAATCATCATGTGGAGAGAACTGAAGGACTTAATGGTTTTGTCTTTAACTGTATGTGTGTTTCTTTAATTTGATTAGTCATCGCTCATTAATTAATTCGATCTCAGCAGTGTGGAAAATAATTGTGAGCTCAGTGGTTTTGTACTGTGTTTAAAGTATTGTGGTGGTCTGTTAGCTTGTGGGATATCTTTAGTTTCACACAGCAGCCAGATATTCCCTGGAAAAGAAGGAGCTCAGATACCAGAGTTGTGCCAGGAAAGATTGTGTCCCATCTTATGGGAAGCCCTGTGGGGGTCGTTGGTCATTTCTGAACAATTCACAGTGACCAGAAAGGCTGTCTGGGAAAAGATTTAGGATCTTCCTCTTTAACAGAGTAAGAGAAGATGCATGATGAACCGAAAAAACAAAACAAACCCAAAACAGAACAGGGCTGTTTTTGACAATTACACATGTGTCAGATGTTATATCACCAATGTTATTATCACTAATGTTCAGTCAAGGCTGCCATCATTTAATGATCTGTTGTATCGGATAAATGATGGCACCCCAAAGAATAAGCACTAAGGTCTGATGAAATATCTCATGCGTTCAACGCTGCGGGATTTCTTTCCTCTGCTCTCATATTTCACACATGCTCTCAAACATGCACACGTATGCTGGCAGTCATCTGTCTACATTTGAAGTTATGCTGCACAAAGAAGAACTTGTTCTGCGATCTGCTATGCTCATTTGTCAGCACGGTGGCACAGTGTTGACCCTGAAAAAGATTAACTTAAAAGATGGGAACAGTTTACATTTTGTATATATTTGTTCCACCATATGGATTATTGTAGGGTATTTAAATGCTAAAGTTTTGTATCTATACATAATATTTTAAATTGTTCTACTTTACAGCCAAAACTGAGCTGGAAATGGAGGAGAAGCAGCTCGTAGACACTCAGCAGATGTAAGAGCATTTCATATTCCTCCATTTCTCTACAAGATACTCCAGCCAGAATGCAAATGTAGCCACCTCTGTCTCATTCCACTGTGTTTCATTTGAACTTTACTCAAGTGTCAAAGTTGTGATCATTGCTGTGAACGTAATGTAATCCAATCCAGTTTAAAGTGACACATTCCTGCTGCAAAAATGAAATGTAATCCTGCTGCTTTGTCAATATTTATGCCTCCTGGTTCCTCCAGTTACATGGAAGGTGCAGGCCATCAAGCCAGGCCTTCAGCAGACATGAGGCCCCTGATGTGGTGTCTATGTTGTTTATCTAAGTAGAGCAGGAGTAGACAGTCATGGCTCCAGGCTTCTGTTTCTGCCTGCTAGGAATGTGTTCCTATAGCAGACTCCAAACAAAGAGACCCTAACCTGTCTGATATATTGATCCACTGCAAATGGCTCCCACATTTAACACTTTTACACATGTCATCCACCTCTCCGTGCACTTTCTTTTAGAGGATCTGTCCCTGTTTCCTAGCCACAGATTTTCTCTCCACATCCAATTGTTTTAGTACAGTTGTTTTAATATGAATGTAGTCTACACATTTATGTGCACACAAACAAGAGAAGTCATGCTCTATTAAGATCAGTAAAAAAATAAAAATAAAATAGAGATGTATCTTGAATTCTGTTTTACTCAAGAAAGTGAAGCCGTCTGATTTAACAATGGTGTAGCTGCATTCGTGCCAGTAATTGGCTTTTCGTGTTCACTATTCTCAGAAGTGCACAGTCATCACTGTTTTGAGCTTTTTTTCTTATTTTTCTATCAAATCTCATTAAAACTACATTATTCCAAGACTTTGATTTTTTGCGTATTAGTGTAGCCGCCAAGTTTCACAACAATCAGTGTAGGTTTCTGTAATCTCATGTTGTAATAGTTTGGCCTTGAAGTAATGTTTTTGTTCTCTGTCCTCAGCTTTTTGGAGTTGAGTGTGTCCTTCTCAGTTAAACCCAAGGCAGGAGAGAAGGAAGTCTCTCCAAACACATTTTTCTCCGTTTGGCATGAATTTTCTACAGATTTCAAAGAGCAGTGGAAGAAACACAATAAGCTGATATTACAAGAACGGTAAGAATGTTTGAGGACAACATTTTAGCTGGCAGAAACATCTCTTGTGCTTATAGTTGTTTAAATCATGATCAAAAGGCAAACCCTGGTAACGACATACAAAATCTATTTTTGTCCAGGACCTCAAAATAACATTACAGATGCAACAGTGTTCATACATATTAAATTCTCCCTAACTTACTTTTCCGTGCCATTAATAACTTGCAGTACATCTCATGTTCTCTGAAGATCCTATCAGATTCATTCAAATTCATGAAGGGAAAAGAGGGCAAGTGACCCAAATCTTTGTCCTCACCCCAGTAATGAGAGGAAGGCATGCACCATCCAGTTAGCTTCCAGTGGTTTGATGAATATGAAGATATTGTTGGATATGTCAACAAATAGCAAAGTGGTCCATTATTTCCAATGAAGATTGACTTGTGATAACACATTTGTTAGAGGAGTCAAATGTCACAGGCTTTGCTTGCTCAGTAGGAAAGAATAAAAATAAATTTGAAAGCATTAACTTTTTGCCCTTTGCTACAGGCAAAGGTTCTCTCTTGACTAGCTTTCCTTTATATATTCAAATGGAACATTATATCCTCACCTGTGCTGTGTGGCCATGCTGCCATGTAGCACAGGCTCATGCACGATTTTAATAGAAACTGTTCTGTACTCACTGTCAGTGTACTACTTATCATTTTTCATATTAAAGTACAACTGAAACTTAGCATTTCTGATCAAAAAGTAAACTGAAGCCCATCAGACTGAGACCTGACCTTTTGATAAACTGCAGTCGCTGTGTTCACATGAGCATGGCCTTGAAGATTTAATACGAATGTTTGGTAAAGGAGAAGTTCCAGCTTTGTTGAATGTCGGCTTTTTTTTCAGGGTGAAAAAGGCAGAGGAGAGCTTCAAGCAGGCCAGGCAGAAGGCATCATACAATGTGACATCGAAAAATGCCTCTGGAATAGTACGTTTGTCTTTTTTATGTGTGTGTGTTATTTTCTCCAATTGTATGTTCAACTGTATGGCTTCCTCTGTTTTTAGTTCAGTACAAGCGATACCCAGATGGTTCTTTTTATATTTTAATGTTTCAAAATTTTCCCCACCTTAAAGACACATTTCCAAAAGTCTGTCGGGATGTGAGAAACAACACTCCTGGCTTTTTCAGAAACATGTTTGGATGAGAGCCAAGGCTGCTGATGGTAAATAACTCAGATCCGTTTCTGTTCCACAGAAAGCTAAACTGAGTAAGAAGATATGAAGCAGAGAACGGAAAACAATCATCACCAAGCCAGATGCACAAGCACAATCTAACATGACTCATCAGTTATTTTAACAATTGTGTATTTTATATTTGTCCGTTAGTTTTTGAGTTTTTTAAACTGGATATTATTGTGTTAAAAGTTAAATGGACAATTTTTATTCTCAGACATATTTTAATAGTCTTTACATTTTAAATGGAGCGCTGTTAAAAAAAATCCTTAAGACGTAGTTTTGCGTTATTTTAACGAAGATAATATGCACACAACTTTGCCATTTGTAGCAAATTATTTAAGCCTTCTTGTTATTTTATAAACTATGTAGCCTGTTAATATTTAATGTGATTTTTAAAAGCTGAGTGAGAAGAACATTTCTAAATATGGGTAGATATGGAACACCTGCACAAAAAGTGCCTTATTGCACAGCGGATGCAAATGAGGGCTGCAGAACAGGGCTTGTTTTTGAGACACTCCATCTGCAATGAACAAATACAGGTAAAGAAAAAAAGTTGGTGTGTTGCAAAACCTAGGAATAGTCTAACACAACGTTTTACAGAAAGCACCTCTTAAACATATTTTTCTGTTTTCTTGCCCAAAAAAGTTTATGCCAAAGTGAACCCTTTTACTCAGCAATATTGTTCAAGTTTTAAATCTGAAAATACATCCTCTCCAAGTGGTGTTGCCTTTTCTGCTGTGTGAGTGTGTGTAACCTAAAGTAACTAAATGACCTTATGTCATGTTTTTCATGTGAAATATCAATATAGTTTTCATAATATACCTTTGACCTTGAAAATATATATGTTGAATTAAAGAAACTGACAATTTTTTATAGTTTTTCTATTCTTCGTCATTCATTTCCTGTTGCAATTTACAGAACATGTACTCTGAACACAAGTCATATTTTATATGAAATAGATTTAATATACTTTAAACATACATAATTACACATACATAAAATGTACATATATATTTAGTATATATTGCATTGCACTACTAAAACACAAGCTGCATTATGATTTTCCAACTATCTAGTAAATGGAAAATATACAGCCAGGTTTTTGTACAGGCATGTGGATGTCAGTGGTCATTGTTGGAATTTTGTGTTTGTTTAAATATTTTCTCAACATTATCTTGAGACATCCCAGACTTCATGAGAAAGACAGAGGGTGGCGGATACAATGGTTGTAAAACAAGGCACAAACAGTCACACTGTTTAGTCATTGTCGACACATAGGAAAATGCCTCAAATCTTTCCTACAGTTCAGACACTGACTTGTCAGCACACTCATCTGTGTGCACTTTCGTAGCTCAACGTGTAAGCGACATTTGAAACACTCTTAGTTTGTAATGAAATGACAAGGAGGGGAGTGTTGCTCATGAAACCCTATAAGGCTTATCAGTGTCACTTGAAGGGTCACAAAAATGATTATTTTTTAGCTGCATTGATATGACAGCATGGTTTCAAATCTGTAATCAAAATCAATGCTGAACCTTTGTTTCACACCAGTTCCATGTCATTTTACAGTAGGGCAAGCCATTCATTGTACAGCACAAGGTAGAAAAGTTCCACTGGAGGCCAGTCCATGTATGGCAAAGTCTTCCGATGTTCCTATGGCACACACTCATGGCGTTCAAATTCAAAGATGTTTAAAATCTTCCTTTACAGTTTCCCATGACCACTCACATCCACGGACATACAGCGACACTGTTTGACCCTCTGCACCTTACGGTATCTGAAAGGGGGCTGCAGGTCTGGGCAGTCTAGCTGCACTGTAAGCTGTGTGATGCGATGTGGCCTGCAGAAGGAGCAGGACTGAAAGGGCTCCTGGGCTTTGCCGTGGCTTTTCCTTCCAGAGCCCGCAGCCTGGCCTCGATTCTGTCCCTGACCGGAGCCGGGGCCCATATGTCGCGGGATGTAGAAAGAGTTGCACTGGCCGTAGCAAAAACGGTTTACCACCGTACGGCTGCGGCATCCCTCTTCACTGATGGTCTGTCTGAGGGGCTGGGTCTTGCACCAGTCTCTGCGGAGGTAACGGCGCTCCGTCACAACCAAGGCCTCTCGGCTGGAGGAAAGGACCTCTGGCTTCTGTTGCAATAACCTGTGGTGGCGTTCTGCGGACAGGTTTCCTTTGTTTTTGTACGGGGATGGAATGGAGCCCTGGGGACGTGTTTTTTTGGTGTCTGCAGTCATGCAGAGGACCCCAGCCAATATGACGGGAATAGTTATTCTCCACAGCATTCTGCAAAAAAGAAGGACACGTTACTATAGAACAGAACAAGAATGGGATTTATTCAAATCATTAAAGCTGAGGTGTAATCAGGCTGTATGTGAAACATAAATACAATAGCTCCCTTTGCTAATCCTATTTGCTGTTGTGAAAATGTGAATTGAACTGCCTTTGCAGTGCAGCCCTCCAGGCATCATTGGGAAAATGAATCCATCACCAGGGCCCCCATTTGTCAGAATCTCTATGTCATTACTTGTATTTGCTTTCCTCTCAGCTATGCAACTCTTCCAAAAATAAACAAAGTCTTGCCATCAAAGGGTACACTTAAACACCCATAACGAGAAGGGGAAGTTGATTTTATTGGTCTCGTCGCTGGGTAAAATAATTAGGGCTTTGCTTACTTTAGTCATGAACTATGCCGCAGATATGTAAACAGGCATTACAGAGACCCATCTGCATGTTATTAGGGGAAGATTTGAGGAACTGTACAGTTTCCTCTGGGAGTCCACTCTTCAAGTCTTTTGTGATATACTGTGGAGAAAACTGAACTGAGAGTGACCCATAGTGTCCATAATCACCATAGTGTCTTCTGTATCAGGCTCACAGCAGAAATATCTGGAGAAATGATCTCTCGGCCATGTAGGATGAAGTATCCACCCGTGTGCACACTGTCAGTATTTGCGCCAGCACATTTTTGATCATCACTCAAGCATCTTTTCAGCAGATGTTGCTCCTGACAAGCATTTCATGACACCAAGTCAGAAATTCTGATGGTGGACCATATTGCCTCAAGGACATTGGCTGCTACCATGCTCAGACTCTTTTTTGGCTGTCCAAATTTATATGTTCGCTTTCTCTTTTTCTTGGACACGCAGCTCACCCTGAGCATGGTACAAATTACTTTATCAGAATCCACTTTGTTTTTTAAATTTGTTTTCTGCCTTTGAACCCGGGGGTAGGCCTCTCTGTCAAACCTGCACAAGTTGTTCTTTGTCCCAGTGCTACTTGCCATAAGGTAGACAGCAGCTGTTTGTCCATCTAGTGCAGTTGTATGAATTCTGAACAGATTTTTCTAACACAGCCCACACACATCTATCATAAGGTTAGAATAACCAAACTGAAGACCCTTGATGACTCATTTCACCACCTACTTTATGATGATGTGGGAACTGTTTTGCATTCTCCGGTGATCTACTTTCCACGTACAACACAGTATTATCTGTCTTAAACTGTCCTCTCTTAGTCCTGCTGAGTGTCACTTTAACTGCTTGACCTCCAGGTCAGGGTAGCAAGCTCGGGATCTCTTGTCCTGTTTTTCCCCGTCGTCCTGCTATCAGTTCTTCAAAGAGGCCCCCTGTAATTCCACTGAGCTATATTCTAGATAGTCCTGAGGAAAGATGATCTGACTGACTGTGTACATAGGCCCTGATGGATGGCACATACAGTCAGAAGCGATGCTTCCTCTCTACTCCCAAAATAAGCCTTAGCAAGATAGCACCCGCCACAGCAAGTTATCCCCATCAATCTCTGCTGCAAGACAAATTGAGGTTTTGGGGAAGGGATTCAGAGGCTTTGGGGGAGTCCTGGGGCGGATGGGTGGGTGGGTGGTTGGTGGTTGGGGAAAAAACATTAGAAAGAAAAGGGTCAGAGAGAAGGTGGGGTCTGGGAAAAATTACCTGGAAACAAAACCAACATTGTCTGGGTTTCATGGTCAATATAGGCCCTCATCCCATAACTGCATATCTCTTCCTGTGCCGCTTGTCTCTTTATTTCTCCTTGACACTAATCATCACACGCTCCTGGAGACGGAAGGAGACTGTGGTTTTGTGTGTTAATGCTGAGACAGAAGTGAACTGGACCTCTCTGTCTGCTGAACACTAATATTGTCCACAAACACAGCTTTATGTTTTACCAGAACCACAAATTCTTTGGATTTGCTTCACTGAACTGTGGCAGACCTTGGTTCCAAAATTCAAACCTCTAATGAAATTACAAACACCAGAAACAAATACCAGGGAGACTGCTGAGCTAGACACAAGACTTTTTGAAAACAACTATTATCATCAGTGAGAACTTGCTATGTTTTGTTTTTCAGAATGGCATGATAATGCCATGGTAATGTTTCCGTCTGGACAACAATGGGACCTTTTTCCAATTAGTCATGACAGTCTCCAGCTTTGTTGCAAAATGTGTTCATGGTTAAGATATTTGGCTGTTAAATTACGGAATAAAGAGAATAATTTCAAGTCTCTCTAATTTGTACACACAGATGTATTTCCACTAAACCATGTGAAATGTCTCCTCAGCATGTCTTCAAAGGCAGGTTAAAACAAACAAAACCTGATGCCTCAATTATTGGTGCGTCAGAAAGTCTCATACGGAGACTGGTAAATGCAGTTAATTACAGTAGAACTGCATTTAATTCACCGTGGAGCTCAAGCTTCAGTCACACACGGGCAGCTACCCACACAGGCACGCAAAAACACACCCCCGTGGAACCATTGCATCCATGCAGTTGAACATAAGCATACACACGCACGCTTCGCGCACAGACGCAAACACACACACAGGATGTACAGTGCAGAGAAAGAGGGATAAAGAGGTAAATGAAGTGTTTTCGCTCTGAGCCAATTACACAAAGAGGAACCATGTCATTATCTGCGTTTGTGGATTGTATTTTCCCAAACTACACTTGGCTGTTGGCTCATTAACAGTTCGTGGTTGGGGGGCTCCTTTTAGGGGTTTTGCTGTGTAAATGAGTCTAATGCCAACATGGCCAGGAGGTCGCTTTAGGCACTTTGGGCAGTCATTTGTCACCACAATCCATCTTGATAATGACTTGCAGCCCAGATATAATGCTTTCCAAGTTAAGTACTGCCAACTAAGTGAGGCAGCAGCTTCGCATCAGTGACATAAAGTGCTTTAGTGGAGGATAACAGGCTATTAGAGATGCTACAGCAGTACAGGTGTTCCCACTGTGGATCAACATTCAGTTCCTGCACAAAGAAAGTCACATTCTGTTTGCTCTTACAATTGAGGTTAATCTTTTTCTATCATGTAGTTTTATACCAACTAAAAAGTTTTCAAGTGTTACATTGTGTCAACATGTCAGATGTATTATCTGTACCAACTTGTTCCAGATTTTGGAGGTTTAACACTTTAAAATCGATCAAACAGAGAGTATTTGATTTCTTTGGGAAGATCTTTATAAGCCAAAAAAGAAAAAAAATCATACTTGGCTATGAGCACTTCTCAAGGCTTTAGTTTGCATTGACTGATGCACCAGCAGGCCACTGCACGCTGCAGGGTTTGGAATAATTCTTTTAAGCCCCATTTTGCTAAGGTTGAAAAAGTTGTTAGGAGTGCCTGTGTGTTACTTTGTCTTTAAGGGAGCTTTTCTCAAGTAACCACATGACATATACATTTCAAATTTCATAAGTTGTGAATGTATTGTCCAATACCAATTTCAGTATCTGTAAAGTCTTTCAGTGAAGTGGTCTCTGTTGCTAAACTGCAATGTGTCTGTGTGCTAAATCCTCTTTGACATCAGAGCAGATTGTACAAGGTGGTGCAGTCACCGGGGCTGTAAGCAGGATCAGTAGGCATACTCCCCACCATTCACTGCACGCATACTGTAGGAACACACACATACACACTCATGTACTCATATGGTCATACACAAGGTTGGATGCAATGAGCAAAGAGAAAAAGAGCGCACATTATTCAGTTCAGGCATGACACTGATTTGTACTGTTCATCACTGTTTTTTGTTTTTTTCGTTCAGTGGAAAGGCTAAACAGACTCTTAAGCTTACTGAAAAGCACAGTACAACTTGCTGTCATCACTCACTAATTCTCTCACTCATAACACTAATTATCTGCAACCTCGAGCCACTAATTATAGTAATTCAGTAGACACTTTTATCCAGGGCACCTAACAGTGCCTTGAAGGTGTATATTTTTACAATGGGTGGTCACAGTGGGAATCAAACTGTCTCTGTGGCGTGTATAGCTGTGCATGTGACGGTTCTCCAGTGACATGGTTTTGAGCTTAGTCACTCTGATACTCATTGAGTCACCAAATCTTACGCTCACGTGGGGACGTGTCGTTCCAGTACTCGTTGAGCTACTGTAGTCTCAGTAAATCAAATAGATAAATTGTAGTTAAAGATGTATACATATAAATGATCCCTGTTTCCTATGCCTCTAACTTTAAACACTGCTGTTCCACTTTGGTTTTAGTTATTCAAAGTTCATATTCAGCCAAAAAGATAGATGATTTATACTATACACCTGACAGCATTTATCTTCACAAAATAGTTTTGAAGGATATTATATAAATTTAGTTGTGATACGTTTAAAATGACTCCTTAGTAGTAGCTTTAACTTTCTCAATGGTGTATTTAACCCTTTGATAAAGTTTTATGTTAATATCACAATGAAAGAATGATATATGGTTTGTTTACCTCTCACCACGGTGTGCAGAAGGGTAGAATGGTCCTGAGGATGCATTCAACAGAGATTGTCCACCTTCAGTGGTCCTAGTGTTTGCCTCCGGGTTTTGGTTTCCATGGTAACATAATCTGTAGTATCCTCAGGCTTGTCTTTGCTCCTCTTTTTCCCCACGAAAAAACTATGAAAAGTGATGGACCTGCTCAGTTTTCCATCATCTAAGGCAAGTTGCATCTCCCCTTTTGATTCTCTAGGAGTTGGATTTTTCTCTTTTATGTCTATTTGGTTTAAGACAGAAGCTCCGGTTTATTCACAGTAAGCTCTGTCTTAGTGTTGTGGAGACTGTCTGCAGTCTGTCTCTGAGAGTGCTTGAGTCAAAGTAAAGCCTGCCTTAGTCTGAATCCCCACCACCCCACCTCCTTCCTCAAGACTGGGAGGGTTTTTTCCTATTGGTCCTGGTCATTGTGTGGATCAAAACAAGCTTTACTGCTTTCATTTATTTCTGCCTCTCCCAAGTTACAATCCCTGTGTGCTTATTACATTGATATGAATAAAATAAATTGTGTGTGATTTTTTTTTACAGGCCCTTCGCCATAACTAAACCTTTCAAAATGACAGCTTTCCTCTCTTCTTCACTGTCTGCATGACATTTCACTTTTATTTTTAGGAATTTTAAGAGAATTTGTGACTACATAAAAGAGATAATGATCCACGGCAAACCTTGGAAATCGTTATTTCTCACTAGCATTGAAACTACATAACATTAAAGGAACAATAAAACGAATTAACTCAGATTCGTAAATCACTTAATAAATTTGCATGCTTTGAAAAATACCACAATTTATATCCTTTGATGTAACCCAGACAAACGTTTTTGTCTACATTGTGGTCTCTGCTGGACACGAAAACTGAAAATAGTTCCGCTTTCTTCCACACAAAAATGCTGAAACATCAATAGCCCCTGCAAAACATCAGAAGAGTCTGAACAACCCTTTCGAGAGGCCAGACGAGGGGGACTTTTGTGCATGACAAAATTGCATGTATCTGCATTTTTCTTATCTTTAGTGAGGAGACCCCAGTTTTTGAGATCAGCCAGTTGAAAATGAATTATCACCCTCTAGTGGTAGAAAGTAAAAGGACATCTCTTCTGGAGAGCGTTGGCACCCTGTGTCAAACTCATAACTACTGTGTATTTGCTCTCATCATGTGAATTTCAGCGGCAGCTCTGGGCAGATATCGATGATTGTGGCTAAACTGAGTAGAATAAAAAGTCAATTGTGAAAGGGAAATAAACTTTTCCCTACGATAAACCGAAACAGATCCTTTAAACAGGTCTTTCTTTTATCATAGTTAATGATGAGCAAATACCCAAAACTTTTTGAAAACCATATACAGTTGTGTCCATAACCAAATAACCCAAGACCATGGTAACAGAGAGAGGGCCAACTTTAATAATACAAGTAAGTAAAAGTGTCTTTAAATATGGTATAAAAATAAATGCAGGAGCGAATAATAAAGAATTATGTTCTACAAGAGACAGACTTTTGTAAAGTTAAATGTGACTTTTCAGTTGTAATGAAAATCATATGTGCTAATTATTGTAGTGCCATAAAATAATGTAAAGCAATATAAATGCACAGTAAATAAAAAAAGATATATGTATATATATCTTGTATATTCATTCTGCACAACACTTCCCATAGCGCAAAGTATCTGTAACCTCATGTAAAGCAATGTCGTTGGTTAGACTGATCAATATAAGCTGTCAATTTAATTTCTCTCTGACATCATTTATTTCAGCTGGAAGTTAGAGAGCGGGGTCCAGTCCAGGAGTTATGGTGGAAAGTATCAAACCACTGGATTTGACTCTGTTCCTTTAGATCTCAACAGTCTTGGTGTCCTCTCAAGTTTACCAGTGTCTTCTTTCTGAGACTATTGGAAATATATCAGGTTCTGAAAGAGTGGAGAAAAGCTGGAACATCCTCCCCATGGACATGCAACATCCTTTGGACAACAGACGAACAGACTGCTTGGCTCATCATCCGACTGAGACAAGAGCAGATGGCAGACAACAATGATGAAGAGATGAGATAGTCCCCCTCTCTATATCCCGGAGAGAGGGAAGCCGTTGATTTTAGCAAGATGCCACATGACTTGTCAGTACTCGAATGCCATTGGTTTCTCCTGTGCTTGGAGAAGAGACAGGAGGGTTGAGAAAACAGGCCGAGGAAAGAGGGTTGTGAAAATGTATTTAATCACAATTAATCACATGACTCTCTGTAGGTATTTGCAATCAAATGATGTTACCACCTGAAGCTAACTAGGTTTCATAGTAACGTGGTATATTTACATGTTACTAAGACTTTTGATAAACTAACTGCTTTATATATTAGGTAAGGTCAAAGAGTTCTATGGGAATGTCTGGTAAAGAATAATTTAACCACTTACAGATACTGTTTGCAAGCTTGGACACTGAGCAGAAATTTTTCACATTTGTAATGCATCAGTGCTCAAAATTTTATGACGTTCCATTTCTTTGTATTTTCTAATGCTTTAGGTAGTTACTATCACACCTTCCACAGTTAGTATTAATGCTGATACCAGGTTACTGACGCAATATTTTAAAAACTCCTACTGAACATTACCTGGGAGGAAGAGGCTTCAGAACAGGTTCTTACTTTTCTGTGGGGAGAGAGAAACATGTTAATGAGGCAATTTTACCACAAACCGGACTCAACAGGCCAGAAAACCAACTAATTAGATAGCCAAAGGTAATATCTCATCTTAGGCTTTCCTCAAAATTATATGAAATAAACACAAAGACCCTTCAAAGACATTGGTGGGTAAATTTACGAAAATGTGAAGCCCTCTATGATAAATTCTAGCCTTAACAATACGAGATCTGCAACAAAACTTCTATTAAATGTTGTTAAATGCAGGAAAAAGACACAACAGGTTTATGGTAAGTACAAATATTTGTTATTTTATGACAGCCCCCTTTTTTGTACTTTTCACAATGCTTTTTTCGACCCCAACATGATTTCCAGTCATATTGATATGCATGATTTTATCTAACTTGTTCAACCCAAACTCTAAAATAATGAACTGATTACATGTTGCATTTCTAGTAAAGATTATTTATGTGGGACTCATTCAGTGGGATGGAAGTCCAATGATGGTTACTTAAATCTTTAATCTAAATTTAGATTACATAGAACCTAAAGGACTTCAATAATTGTCTATGCAAACACTTGTCTCCATGCCTTCTTCCATTTTCATTTCTTCAGAGTACAGATCGGTTTGATACCTTCTTCTTAGCCTGTAATAACTCCTGATAGGCACTGGAACGGATGAAACGGCTGTAAGAGTCACTCTTCATCAGTTTGTAGATGTGTTCCTTTAGCAGAAACAAAACATGACGATAAATTACTGAAGCATCAGACGTGTGTTTATGTACATGATGTGATATTGAATGACAACTCACCTGTGCATCCTCAAAGGCATACCGTCCAGGATCTTTGACATTCTGGGTAGTTTTGTCGTAGCTCTTGGAATCTACGTTGATGGCACTGGGTGCCCCAGGGGCCAGAAATTCCTGCCAAATCTCCTGAACCCGAGTTGGAACTTCTCTGATGGGGCGCTTCTTTACTTCCTGGACTGCTAGCCAGAACCTACATTCAAATTTATAGTTGTTGTTTGTTTATAAAATAACCTTTGGAATAAAACCATATACTGTAAATATTGCAGTAAAGCATGTAAAGCAGATGTTAAAGAATTACAAAAAAAAGCAAGGCCATTAAGATTCACACTATTACCGTAACAGTCTCATTTTGCACTCTTCAATTAAACACACAACACTCAGTTCTGAAATTTTAAAGACAATAACATGTGAAGCTGTATGTGATGATAAGGACACATAGAAGTGAGTGAAAAAAACTCCTGATAATTCTATCAGGAATTCTATTTTATTCTATTCTATCTATTCTAACACAGCAACATTTTAGAAATTGATGCGAGAACAGTAACTGTGTCAAGTCAGAGAAAGTGTAACATTTTATTCACATTTATTCAAATGATTTATTTGGAGTAGAACAAAAATTATATCCAACTGTCGAAGACCTAGCTGTAGTCCAACTGACCCCATTATCAGCTTTAGTGAGGGACAGTTCTACCATGTACCATCGGAGGGAGCAGGGGGCTGTTCCGCTCAGCAACGACTCTTCATCTGTATGCACCCTGATGCGCTGTTGATTTTCTTTCTCAAGACTAGAGTATATTGATTGGGATAATATTTCTGTCTACTTAGAGCTACAGAAGTTAAACGTTATATTCAGGAGATTTTTATTTTATTTTAAGTTACAGTATGTTTGTACATGCATTCAAATACAAAATTAAAAGATATATTGTTGAACAAAGTACTTACCATTATGTCAGGTAACTGATTCAACAACATTTAACCATGTGGATATAATAAGTATCATTTGCATAATTTATTTGCAATTTATTTGCAAAAATACTATATGAATATCATTGAACCAAACACAGAAACTAATTAATGCCAATATTTTTCCTGTATAAAAACATTTTTACATTACAACTATGTATTATTTCTGCTTCAAATTAATTATTTTAGGTATGAGTTGGTTTATTGAAAGTCAACGTCATCATGTACCTGAGATTCTCAGAGCTGAACTCAGACTCAAGGAACTTGAGAAACTGTTCTCTCCCCACAGGATCTTTGAGAACCTCGTCGATGCCAAAAGCCCATCTCTTTACCCTTTGTTGGCCTGGTTCCTTACTGGAGTGTGTCACACAAAAACACAACATTCATCTCAAAGATCAGGTTTTCATGCTACAAACACACTCAGCTATAAAAGCATTTCATCTGATCCATCTGGCCCTCTAAATATTGTGCTCACCTTGCTTCAAGCTCCCAGATCATGGTGTCATCTGAGATCCAGGGGTTGGATGGGTCTGGAGATGTGAGGAAGGGGTCGTATTCGACATACTGCTCCGTATAACCCAGCAAACTGTTGATGTCAAACAACAGAGCACAAAAACTCTGTATATTAGAACTTCATTATTATACTTTTTCTGAGCTTTAACTATGAAAAGGAGAAGTAAGCTCTAACGAGAGCTGCCACTTTTTAAACATGAAAATAGACAACTTGTCGCTTTATAAATCCGTATTTTCAGTGAATGAATAAAAAAGGAAACATGGTGTCTGACATAATCCGTGCTGAAAACAGCTGAACCTATTGTCTGGACCAGAACACTTCTCAAGGTCATTGGAGTTCTTAATTCCTCAACATGTAAGGCGGTTTAACAGCTCAATAAACAGATCGATGGCTAAACTCAATAAACACAAAGAACATCACTTACCTCTCTGCCACTTTGGACATTTTCAGTCGATGCCTGTCTAATTGTAATTGCCAAAAGGTGATCTGAAACAATAGCAGGCAGCAGTTACTCTGCAGTTTTACCATAAATTACAATCATATTTGGTTTATATGTATGAAATATCAAGAGCTTATATCATTCTATGGAGTTACGTTCAGCTCATTTCTATCTAAATGGTACAAAATAATGTGTAATAAAGTGTGTACCAATGAGCTATCACTCCAATTAAACAGACATAAAACTAATAAAGACCAAATCTGTCAGTGTAGAGCTAACCTGTTCCTGCAGTTCTTCTTCTGTAGGCTGCTTTGCCTCTGGGACGGGGGTGTGAGTTGGGCTGTGGGTACGGATATCATTCTGCAGCCCATACACAGACTGAGAAAGCAAACACCATAAGAATGACAACAAGGAATCAACATGTGTAGCTTTGCACATGCAGACACACAGCAACAAGGAACAACCTGATGCTAGCATCCCTGGCCTCACAATAAAGGAGGATTTACTGCACCTTTCTAGTCTTGTGTGGGTTTTTCATTCTGGAGGACTTCTTTATGTCAACTTCTGTTGTATTCACACATCCAGGCTGTAAGAACAGAGTGAAGGACAAAGGGTAACTACGAGGGCATTCAGCCTACATTAAACTACAATCATCATAGAGTATGTGCACTAACAACTGAATTGAGTACAGACTACTGTTCTGCAGAGACACAATTTTGCAGAAAGGGGCTATTTTCCCACAACTATGCAAGTTTTGGTTACCATAAGCCAATATTCTTTTCTTGGGTGTGAAGAATTCACGACAATGTGTCTGATACTGGTTAATTAAACATGGAATGTGCCAGCTTTGGCAAAACAAATAAACCAGTGGGAAATCATGTCTCAATGCAGAGCTACTGACTGAGTGAGCAAGTGGTCTAATCTAGGCTTCTTCCAGGGGAACAGAGCTAAGTAGCTTGCCAGCGTTACTGTGAAATTTGAATTAATATTGATTATGTTTCTCCAAGGATGCATAAATTGAACTTGTTATTTTCCAATTAACCATCAAGCGGTGGCTTTGGGAGAAATACAGCAGAGGAGACCCTTTAACCTCAGGGGAAGAGTAAATGCTAATGCTAGGCAAGTGTGTGAGAGCAAGGTAAAGAGCAGCGCTGAAGCTGATGTGTTGTGACAGTTATTGATGTGCCATTTCATGTGTATGGCTACGGCAAATACACAATGGAGGATTTCAGTGTTTGCCTATTTACACCATTTAAATGTTACAGGTAGCATATGCAGCTCATATAAAAATTGTAGAATCCAGAGAGTGCTTGTAACTGCATGACATTTTCAAAGCATTATTTCTTATTTTTCACACAGCTTGATGCATTCCTTCCTACCCAGAGTGAAATGTGTGGAATGGATTAAAATAGCCCACCGGGCAACAATTATTCACCACATGTAATTATTCCTTTGGTTTTGGAGGTGCAGCACGTCATGGTCAGTTTTATATATATCTCAAAATGATTCTCTTTCTCCAGAGCAATTAAGATGAAGCTGATAATATCAGTTAGAATGTCAATACGAGCAGGGGTTGATTAATAACAGCGCACATAGTTATTTCACTCACCACTGGTCTGTGCACATCCCAGAATGCTCTCTCCTGACTGTCGAGAATTTTCCTCTCAATTTTGTCTCTTTTCTTGTCAACTCTGGAGTGGGGAAAAAAGAAAATACAAATAATTCGGACAATAGACGCATTCTGGTCTAACTCTCATTGGTTCGTTACTTTTTTAAAGTGCAGTTCATTTGTGAAGATCAATGCTGGTGCTAAAAACAAAAAGCTGTTGTAAACCACTAAGTTTAGTCGTGTCATAGTGTCATAATGACACGTAACAAGACTTACTCATCATGGTTTAATGTGTGTGTGGTTCCCATGCAGACCTACTTTGCCTGTGCTTCTGCTTGCATAAAAATGAACTCCCATTTTCTGGCAAAAGCTCTCTGTAGCCTTGCTAAGCTCTCCTGTAAGTAAAACAGAGAACAAACAAGAAAAGAAAGTCTTTTGAAGGAGCTGGTCCATTTATATTTACCGCACATGCTGTGAACAGTACACAACTGGATGCCATATCTAATGATCTTTGCTCACAAGCAAAATGGAAAAACCCTGGGAATAACTAACCCACTGGTTCATTTAATTGCTTTTTTCCCTTCAACAGTAAAATAAAAGTTACAAATTATTTATTAATCACGATAAAGGCAATTGCTTACTTTGTTAGTAAGAACAGGCAATACGAAATGCCTTGAGATGAGTACCAACACTGAACCAGTGAAGATTTGTGAGGTGGGGAATGAGGATGCCTCTTTCACTTACCGCTTCATAGTCTGCGAGCTCCAGACGTGCTTTATTTTGCATTGTTCTTTTGCAGAGGTAAACAGCTGAGAGAGACAGAGAAAGAGTGGTAAAGGGAGCAAAGGCTCTCTGCTTTGTTTTAACAACATTAAGTGGCCCTGACTTTATTCATTTAATCCTCTCAACTGCACATTTAGCCTGGGCTGCAAATCATGAAGGTCGTCTTTTGTCCACGTTATGGGTGCGTCTGCTACAGGTGCTTGAGTGCACGTGCCTGACTTTTGATGTCTTCCTGTGCGATAATCGTCCCTTCATCTCTTTGTTAATATAACATGATGTGAGGTTTCATTATATCATTACACTGTTTTCATTAAGGGGCATCATTCACGGGAATCAGTCACTGCATCTGACTTCAACGAGCACTCACAGGATTATTCCCACTGTCCACATAAGCCCTTTTCTTCATCGAGCGACGAATAAAAGACCTGCTTGGTGGCAGCTACACACAAAACCATTTCTGGCATTATGAAAGCTTTATCTCCATTCTGCTCCGCAAACAATGAAAAGCTCATCTCTGTACCCCCATTAAATTGCTCATCCAACTGTGCACAACAGGTGCATGCATGCAGACACATCCCTCCTTTCCTGCAGTTATCAGGCTGCATCAGTAAAACTAAAATATATGACTGATGCAGACACATTTTGATTTAGGTTGGAAACATAAAATATATCGCCATATGAAATTTAAATTAAAGCGTGAGAAGTTACTGCATTCCCCAGAACTGTCATTAATCCAATTTTAGGTTAAATATTTATAATTGTTCCAAATGGGGTTAAGTCATTTTTCCTTTTTTATTTGCAAAAATCACTATTGATAACTTGTCTATTCGTCAAACACAATTTATGGACAAAATATATTGTCAGCATCAACTCTTCAAAATGCCCTGCACAATGCACAAAGTATACATTAAAATAAATAATAGCATTCTCACCATAGTCTGTGTTTTCAGGTTCCCAGCAGTTTGATGGCCAAAAGTATGGAGTCTGAAAAGAAAACAATGTTATTAAACACCTAAACTAAAAGACATTTTGCATCTGGAAATGTGATTTCATGCAGTGAGAGGTGGGTATGCACAACAACACAGCAGCATCCGTCACAGTAAAATACTTTGTTGTATAAAGGGTTTGGCATTGTGTCAGAAGGACATAAGCTCTTTTCAAAAGTGCTTAGAATACCCATCATCATGAATCTTCACCTTTCTTAATGTAGAAATGTATGTTCTGACTTCAGCTAAGTAATTTCAGCAACAAACAGTCTTTGACGACTGACTCTGCAGCACACTTGGGGAAGTCAGTGGAGAAAAAAAAGTCATGAAACTATTCTTTATGGATATCCAGAATGACGTGCTTCTGGGCAGATCCATAAAACACAACCAAAAAAGAAAAAAAAATCAAATTATAAATTGAACAAAAACTGCTACATTTAAAAAGCAACAGAAACATTTACATTAAGTCCAGAGCAAAAGGACCTTCAAAATAAAAATAAAAAAGATGGTTGGGTTTGTACTTGAAAATGAAAACACTTCATAGATACTCATTTGTTTCACATTAGCACATCTGCTGCTATTTCTGGTACTGACATTGAATGGAAAAAAAAAATTGTGAAGTCGACTTTTTTTTCTTTACACTAAATTATGCTGTATCATTATTAGTTTCCACTTTTGCATATGAGGCTTAAATTGCGCTAGTAATGTGACCATGCAAGCTTTATAAAATGTCAACATATTGTCACCAATGTTTATGCACCGACAATGCATCAATAGTCTTACCTGAAACCTATAGAAAGTGCCATCATCTTTGAGAGTGAGGACATGGTCTGAGATGGGGAAGAAGTAGCCATGTGCAGCCATCAGTGTTCCTAAGTGAAGAGCCTCCACTGGGAGGACACACAAAGAGACAGTCAGTTTACATCTTGTTGTACCTGTGTTTATCCAAGAACTGTGACATTTAAAAACCCTAAGTTTAGAGGTTTATATTATCTCCATTGGGGTATTGTCTTCTTTTAGTGCTCACCCTGTCTACAATAAAAGGTAGTTATCTCCTGCCACTGAACAGTTTGACATGCCTGTTCCATCATCCACATACATACAAATATGCAGGCACTTATTTATTGTTTTTTCTGTTTTCAGATCTTTACAATCAAGCTGTTGTCTGTGGTAGTTTACATGGTGCTTTAACATAAATCTGTAATTCAGTGTGTTATTTTTCTCCTGTCTAATCACCCGAGCCAAGGCCATTCATCCATCAGTCCATTTTCTATATCAACATATTCCAATTCGGGATTACAGGGGCTGGAGCCTGTCCCACCTCCTACCTGCCACTGGGCAAAAGGCAGAGAACACCATGGACACGTTGCCAGTCTTTCGCTTGCGCCACACAGAGACAAGTAAGACAAACAACTATACACACTTCCTAGACCAGCATCTTTCTTCTTTCTTTATTTTTTTGTTCCACCTGCCAATGAATTTTATTCACCATTTATTTTGAGGTTCAAATGGTTCCTAAGGAAATATTCACAGTCAGAGTGAAAGAGGAGCTGCCACTTTACAAGGCCCTCACACTGCTTTGACAGATGGATAGGCAGGTCTCCACTCCAACCAAACAGCACAGCAGGAGGGCCCACTGATTAGCCCACCTTCAGCAGGAGAGGCGGAACTCATCAGTCAAATCACCTGGTGTTGTGCCTAGTTGGAGTGAAATCCTGCTTCCCCCTGGTGCTCCACAGCACATGGTTGACTGTTCCTGATTTAAAACCATCAGATAATGAAAACATGTCATCATCATCAACTGTGTGTCTCATCTGCCTCCAGTTATTCCCTGCTGCTCGGAATCTGCGAGTGTGTTCCGTGGTGTCGACATGCATCACTCAGGTTTCCTTTAATGTGTTGACAATTCTCTGATAATACAGACACATTTTGTTCATTAGGAGCCGCAATGGAAACAATATATTTGCATACGTACAACAGAGTCCTTGTCTGTATCTATCATTTAAACCTTTTTAACAGGCAGCTAAGGTAATAGAAGCAGAGGCTGAAACACACAGTCAGACATGCTGAACAGAAAGAGCTTAGAATGCAATAACAGAAGCTTACTGACTGCCTGCATAAAACATGTGCATCTCAGCTATCTCCCTCTCTGACACATGCACATATCCACACATACCATGTGTGTGTGAGAGAGAGATAAATATAGATTGGATTTACCTATACCACCGAAGTGACTGTTGCAGCTTTGAGAGGTCAAGATGTTAGATGTGTGTAAGGGGGTGCACATGTGTGTACATGGTTCCATTTATTAATAAATAATGACTCATGTGTTATTTAAATCTATTTTCTCACAAACCTGGCTGTTACTCTTCAGTCAAAGTGTTATTTATTCGAGGAATGCTGTCCGCTCCATACAGTAGTACATTATTGTATTATACTCTGATTCTGTTACTAAGTTAAAATTGAAAATAGGTCTGAAATAAGGTCAAACTATATATTGCATATCTTTTTCAAAGTACAGACATGTTCAAATTCAGATATTAATTTGAAAAAATCTATTTATACATGTACTTCCCTTCTTACTGATTGAGATTGACTGTGCATTTTCCTCAGAGCTGTTGCTGCTTATGAACCAAACAGTGTCTACCAAGGATAGACAGATAAGTGTTTACTCAACATCCAGTGCACTGGAGAATTTTCATGGGTATAAAAAAACTAGAATATGATTATTAAATGAAGAAATGTAATTTATTTCATTAATTTAAAATCTGATTTATGATTAAGAAAAACTTTATCAATCCCTTGATAAAAATTACACTGCCACAGGATGAATTGTCATCAAAGACATTCTACCGCTACTGATAAAAAACAACTTAATCAGATCAAATAAAAACACTGGAAAAGTTGAAGTGGAAGAGAGGGGCGTGGTTTAAATCTACAGAGATCCCCAGAAATGGATTAAGGTGTTGTTTTTGTTGCTTGGCAACAACTTAGATGATGAGGGCACACAGAATTGGCAGGTAACACAGGGAACTTTCTCAGTTGCCAGCTTTGACAAGAACACACAGCCAGCAACTCGCATCTCTCTGTCTGTAGTCTCTGCCTGCCTGTATTGCCTGAAAGACAAGCAGTGCCAGAACTTTTTCTGTAGCTCAAAAAACCCAACACTGTCCCTCTTATTTTCCCCTCCACCTGCCCCAAACTCAACCCATCTGCTTAGGGTCCTAAACCTCCCATGACAACATAAGTGGAATAAAATGTTGTTCTCCATTTTGTCCCTGCATTGCATCCTTAACCTCTTCTCCTCAACTCATCTGGATTTAAGATGCCATTTTAGGTATTACTTGGACTTTGGAAGGCTCAGTCAATTTTTCTGTTGCCATGGTTATGCATCATAACACATGTGACAACGTGCCAGAATAACCACAAGAAATCCCACCAGCATCCAACCAGTCACATATTCCCAGACTTATAGCAGCAGGCTGCTACTTGTGCAGAGCCATTACGGATTAAAATTAAAAAATAATTTACAAAAATGGTTTGTCTTTATAATAAAATTTGAAAACTCAATTTTGAGTCAGACTACTCAATTTTGTTTAATCTGTTTAGTTTTTTATGTTCTCTAATGTTCTGATGCTTAATTTATGTGTTTATTTAATTTGATGTGTTTTTGTCATTTTGAATATTGTGAATTTAAAGCTATGATAGCCAAACATCCCTTATTCATCTAACAATCAAACAATAGGTCATGATAGGTGATAATTATATTGACCTGGTAATGAACTGCTTTTGACACTCTAATGCAATTTTTTAAAAACACATTCATTTGTTAATATACTTTCCTTTTGAGTATTTAGTTATGATTTATCAAGGTTTATGAAAGTTGTCAATTTTCACGTTTTATATAGTCATTTCATATATAGTGTGAAGGTTGGAAAACTTACTTGTAAACATTTTTACACCTTTTTTATCCTGTGGGGTGGAAATATTCTACGATCAATCCCAGCGGGGGAGTAAATTTCTGTCAGCAAATCCAAGACAGAAATATACCACAGAGATTTCCAAATATGATCATAATGAGTTCAACTGAGCTGTGTAAGTGTAATAACCATGGGATTTGGTTAGCAAGAACCTCTTGAGCTCCAATCAACTTTAATAATAAGCTCATCTGCCTTTACATAATAAATGTGTTACTATCATGCTGTGAGACTAATTGATTGCATCTCTTATACTGCTTGTCATCTCCACCAGGAGTTGCTCTGAGCTCAAGTTCCTGAGTTCTGAACAAAAAGGCATTTATCACTGTGGGGCAGCTAATGGCATCTTCTGTGTCTATGCTGTAGTCAGCAATACTAAAAGCAAAAGACTCCATAAATCTGCTGTTAATACGTAGTTTCAATATCTTTCACAAGTTTCACTAATTTGATTAATAGCATATTTTTACAGACTATGACTGCTAGCAAACTCTTCAAATTTACATTAGTTCATCATTATTGCGGGACTTTACCAAACAATGTGACTTATAATGTTTTTCAAGCAAACAAGACACAGCTCATTTGGTAGACTTTTCTTTAAACTATAGGTTCTTTAGCTCTGTTTGGTCATCCATCTCCCATTTTTGAGTCACCTTATTTAGAGAGAAAAGCTCAGGTAATGATTTGAGACAGGTCTGGAGAGTCTAGACCTATGCTGTCACACTGGTGTGAAATAATGATGATAAAAGAAAACAATGAGGAGGAGAGAAAGCAGGAGCAGTGTGTGCTGTAGCTCAAGGACAAAAAAAATGCGTCACAGTGTGGCTGTAGTGCATTTGTTGTAGACAGACCTAAAATTCTTTACAGGCTAATGCAATCATCTACAATCCTTTATGTGATTAGTACATTCTCAAATGCACCTTTTGGAAATTCCAAGCGAGCTTAATCAAGATAAATATAAATATGTATCATCGGAGTCAGTATTTGTGTCCATTTAGGCAAACAAACATTATAAATGTGTTCTACAGTTTGATAATTACCAGATTTCAAGAACAAACTTCATTACAGGTTGTGGCAAATGTGTCCTGGGTTGTCTAAATAAAAAGTTTTCTACGTCTACTGTTACAAATCTATCCACTGAAACAGTTACCAAAAAAACTGAGTTGACAAACTACAGTGAATCAATCTATATTTTTCATCAACGTCTGATTCAGTATTTAGCATTTCAGTATTTTGAATTTACCTGGATCTTCAATGTCCAGATTCTTGATCATCCACTGTACGATTTCAGAACCTGAAATTAGAAATAGAAAACACACACACACGCATATGAATCCCTTGCAAATCTTTGTGTGAACAGTGTGCGCATACATATGCGAATGAAAACAATGACTCTATTAAACCTACCCAACTCATCATTGCAGTGCATTAAAATTGTGGCTGGGTAATAGGCCATCCATTCCCAAATATAATTTTCTGACAGCCTCTCCAAGGTATCTCTTTTTGGCTGAAGTCCATTATTATAGATTACCAGAGGTACAATGACATGATGAGGCATGCTGTTTGCGCTGTATAACAACACAATATGTGTGACTCAAGCCACTTAATAAGTCAGTTCATCACATTCTATCTTGCAAACCATCAAAAATAACTAGAAAATAGACCCAAGAGAAGAAACCAAAGAAGAGGACGTATTATGATTTTTGATAGCATTTTTGCAAATATGAACGTGAAACTTTTCACATGAGGGATGCCATCTTTCATCTCCTCCATCTGAAAATGCAACTGAATCATTTTCACTTCTCTGAAAAACATAACAGCATCCTCTTTCCCCCGGGCATTTTCACACCCCAGCGCAACATGTGACTTTGGCTATATATTTTCCAAGCTATTATTACTGTCTGTCATACTGACAGGTGAGGGTGTGTTGAGGAGACGAAAGCCACAGAAGGCAGAAAAAAGGTGCGAAATGGAGACATGGGGGAATTCATGCAGTGAGACAGTCTAGCCCTGTGGCTGTCTCTGTGTCCATCAAGCTGCCACTTTATATGTATTTTGCGTTTTCTTTTCTCGTTTACTGCACACCCATACTTCTTGGCTCCTCCAGAAGTCAGTGACATTTCCAGTAGATTAACGTCATTAACATGACCTTATTTCCACACTGTCCAAGTTGACCTACTTCTGAGAGAGAGTTCAAATGAGATGTGCAAGTTTTCTTCCACAAAACTGTTCTGCTGATTGATTATTATCCCCAACATATATTAGGATGTGCATTCATGAATGTGTGTGCATACAGCTGCCATTGTGCATGACAATTGGAATGGGACAATACTATAGACAGACTAGTTAACAATCATTTTCCCAGTTACAGCCATCTTGGATAATGTTGCTTCGTTCAGCAAGTAAGAAAAAACAGCAAAGGACAGTGTGTTAAAACACAGATCTTTATATATACGTTTTAATCCTTGTTATCATGTCTGTAAAGTTTTTGATTGATTACGTAACATATCATAAGGATCTTTGTTTTGAATCTGAAGACCTCCGCTTCAGTCTAAGAAAAGTGCTGTCAGACAGCCTGTCTTTCATGTACATAGTCAAATTCATGACTGCTTGCTCGGTAGGGCTTTAAACCCAATTTGCATGCGCTGTGATGTACCGGAAAATGAAAAGAAACGCAAACTATTGGGAGAAATTAGTAGAAGCTTTGTGGAGAAGCAACTTCATGAAACTTCTCCTAGTTGTGATTATGGTAGACCTGACGTGTACTGTTAATGGTGTTATATTTCTGAATCCAGCTCTGTAAGCCTCCTTGTCTGTCAGAAATAAATTAATATATAACACAAATACTTTGATTTTATTTAGAAAAAAATGTAGGTCCTATCAAAAAGAGCCAAATGGGACACTAGTTTTCGTATGTGTCTGGGCGGTTTTCCCAACCGTTCATCCTTGTTATATGATATATGTTATTTTTTCCTCCGCCCCTTTCTTGTTTCAAGGCTCGAGTCTTGAGGTACGTGGGGTTAAAACCCACAGGCGGCAAGCAGCCACAGAGCTCGACCAGTCAAGCGAGATGCCGCAAGCCATGCTTTATTAAGGTTGTTATAAGCAGTAGAAAGTGAATACATTACCATTGGGAATTCTTCTACTTACATGCCACCTTGTATAATTTAGCTGGCTCTTCCTGAGAATTGTTGTTTGATTCAAACATGAGTAACTGAACCATCACTACAGTCATAAAATAGCACAGTCACTATTGCAGAATGGAGCAGACTTGGAAGGGAAGCAACAACTTATAAGTTGAAATGTGGGCAGGGGTGCATCAGTAGTCATACCCAGGACATTGTGAGATGATAGAAGTCTTTTTTCCAGTGAAAAACCTTGGCTCTTTTTTATGTTCCTTGAGCTGTTTACGAGCAGTGACTGCTGTCTGGGTACATTGCCTTGCTAGGGCTGTGCTGTTGCCTTGTGGGCAAGTGCTGGGTCAGCAGCAATGTGTTGGGCAGTAATGGTCAACCAATCCACAGCATAAATGCCAGGACCCCATAGTTTCTAGCAGAACACTGATTTTCAAAACGTCAACTAAAAAGGTTGATCTATTTACTTTACATGTTGGTTGTTTTTTAAATGAGTCTGACTGGTTGACACATGATTTATTCAGTGTGACCTGTTTATATTGAGCCAGTTCAAAATTTAAAGTTGTAAAAGAAAAAATGTTTAAAAAGGTGCTACAGTGCAGCACAGCTATTTACAACACTCAAATACAAGCCATGGATACTATTCAGATAAAGTCATGTGAAAAATAGGACGGAAGGAATTATGTATTTATGTATTGGTCATATGACTACTCATGAATAATTTAGAGACCATCAATCCATAAGGAGAGAATGATTATACCCAGGTGAAAAACATTTAAAAAACAGTTGATCATTTTCTCAGGCGTCAGTGAAAAGAAAAAAAGCAAAGCCAAAAGCTACATGTCAGATTTGAACATGTTCAATATTGAAGATCATTATAATTATTTAGTTTGGTTTATTATGGTTACCATGAGAAGTTTCTCTTCTGATGACTGATTTTAAGTTTGCAAAGTTGTGTCAGACTTCTGGAACAATATCATTTGGACAGAGAAAACCATTTTTTTCCTGGCAAAAAACAAACTCAAGATTCTGGCACAAACTCTTTGGACCAACTGCCAACACGGTGATGGAGGGAGGACTCTTTGGACTTGTTTTGTAGGCATAAAGACCTGGACACCTGGCTATCATTGACAGTGGCTCTCTCTGTATTGGGAGTAAAATGTGAGACCATCTGTTTGACATCTGAAAATTCCTCTAAATCTGACTAAGCAATAAGAAAAAGATGCCAGGCAGAGCAGCAAATCCACAACAGTAAAAAAAAAATGTCAAGGTGTTGAAATGTCCCCCTCAAGGTCCAGATACTTTATTATTTGAATGCTGTGATGGAACCTTAAGAGAGCTGCGCATAAAGACAAAAAACAAACCTCAATTATCTACAGCCCACAATGACATGACAGACTGTTACACCTCACAGAAGGTTTCACAGATAGCATTTGTATGCCTTGTGATATTGTTGCTGAAGTTCATTTTAAGACCTGATGAAGACCAGATGGCTTTTTGCTTTTACATGAAACCTTCCTTCACATTCCTACCAAAAGAATGGAAATACCTGACATACAGTTGCTGCTGAAACCAAAACAAGATGACCATAGCCAATTTCTGGTAGATTAATATCTGGCTACAAGATTTTTGAAAATACTATTTTTGTCAATTTGAGGTTCTTCGATTTAAGTATTCATCTTTTACTGAGATGTAACGATAATTCTATGATTAACAATTATTTTGGACATTTACTACTGATGTAGTGAAATTATATTACCTTCCTGATCCCTCATGCACAGTAAAAATAGTACTGATGGTGTTACATGCTGATATTATCAGCATACCAATCCAGTGATTTACCAATGATCTTCAACATGTTAATGATTTTTGGTCAGATCATAACATCAGAACATAAGATTAGAACATAAGAGAGTATATTTAAAAGATAGATAAGAAGAGAAAAGTAGAAAAGAGAGATTTAACCTTACCTGAAAAAACACTGGGGATCTTGGTGAGGAAACTTTTCACTGTCCGGATGGGGATTCCATTATTCTCATCTTGCATGCGTGCTATTACTTCCTCCATCTGCACAGCACAATAACAATGCAAGAGAAGATGATGGGGGGGGGGGAGATAGCAAAAGGATAAATTGAGAAGGTTCCATTACTTTTCTCATATTTGGAAGCTGTGTGACAGCAAGGAGATACAGTACAGAGGTGAACAGATACAAAAAAGTTCCTTGAACAGGTGAGCTGTGTCTTCAGGGGACAGACTAAAGCAATGAAGTTGGTGACTAACAATCACAGCTGTCAGATTTCTGCCACCCACCGTGACAAATCGAACTGATTTGTGTCATTATTCACCTGAACTGAGCAGTGAGATACTCTCATTGAATAGCTCTGAAAGTGTTCTGTCATTATCCATCCACAGTGTCCTTAAAAAACTATAAACTTCACAGGACAGAGAATTGTCAATTTAGAAAATAAAGTTTTTTGTTAAACTTTTACATGTTTCAATCGAAAACTGAGCCAGGGAATGAAGTAAGAGCGCGAACACTCACACTGGCACATGCTTAAACTCACATTCCCAGACATTTGCACACAAGGCAGAAATGTACTGGGAGTTACAGTATCTCAAGGGATTACCATGGCAACACATGGCAACCATGTTTCTAGATACATGTTGAGAGCAAAGCATTGCTTTATTAGACACGAGGTAGGCCAAACACCAAGCTGTTGGCTCTGAAGGGTAATGACCTGGTTATACTAACTGTGCTGTGTTAGTGTCTTACAGTCATTTCAATAAAATCACAACTAAAATATAACAAGTTAATTTTCTTTTTCAGTGTTTGGATATTATGACCTGGATTATGAAAAGAAAAACAGTTACCATTGTTCTCAGGCCTCTTTTATACTCCTTGACACACACACAAGCCTTATCAGAGCTGCTCATCTGGGAATGCAATTTGAATGTGGCTAATTCCATTTCACAAAAATGCGACTTTTGTGTGGGTGAAAATTAATTTTGTGGCTACACATAGAAAGAGCACTTTTGATTAAGGACAGGCTGGGATTGATATGTAAATCTGTAACCACTCAGGTTTGGCAGTTCATGAGCCAAACCGTAGCTTATTGCTATGATGAAAGCTTGTAGCTAGTCAAAAATCCCTGCAGCTAAGAACCATCCCAGTTAGAGATTGGAGCGTAATTGACAATGATAGAGCACAGGCAAATAATGTAACCCAAAAAGCTGCAGGGAAATACCAGAAAGAACACAAGTACGAGATATGGGAGGAAAAACACAGAATTTATGAGAAACATTTTTCTTTAGCTTACTTCTTTTTTTTATGACACTCTTTCTGTAATGTGTGTTTTCAGTTGCGCAGGTAATGGACAAGCTCATATGTACATATAAACTACATGTGTCCAAATCTGAGCTAAGAAAAAATAATAATTTCTCAATCTGATCCATAAATCTTGCCTTTTCAGAGACTATCCTCCAAACAAAAACATTTGTGTAACACTTTAGTACAACCTAAAACTCTATACAAATGAAAATGATTTCTGTTTACCAAATCCAAAGTGTTTTCAAGACAACAAAAGGTCACCAAGATCTGCAATTGATTTGTGTCCTAAAAACCCTACAATTATAGAAGAAACTCCTTTTTGTATCCATGTAACAAAATCTACCGCTGTCACAGCTTGTATTTCATAAAACTTTTTATTAGGACTTTCCTCTGAGCTTATGATTACAACCATCAGGGATTTTGGACAGTTCAGTAATTGTTCCCGACAGCGTAAGTACCATGGCTGATGGAACATGCACTCACAGCAACTACTATAAAAAATGTGTTAACATCAGTCGAATGTCACTGCTGTCAACAATAGCTCTAAATTTATCAATTAGTTTCTAAAAACGTCAAACAAAGGTGAATGGATCCAAACATTTGACTTGAGGATTTATTAAGTTTAAGCAAAAAAAATAAATAAAATAAAATATATATATATGCAGGGCAAACGCAGCCATAGAAAATGTGGGAAAAAAGTTTAAGATTACCCCGTCGTCTTCAGCAGCACCTCAAAATTGTTTGGTCTGATAAAAGATTAAATGATAAAACAATAGGCTCAACCTCTCAGAGTGGACTTGATGGTGGGTTAATCAAAACAAAATTACCCCAAAACAATCAGCGAGGTTCTCAACTGCAGCCCTTGTTGAAATGATTGGAAAAATCATTTTGATACGAACATAATGAAATCAAAAGAAACTAGCAAATGATTACTTTTTTCCCCCAGTTATTTTAAATGATACCGCAGATTTTGATGATGCAAAGCAGTGACATCAAATTTTTTCTCTAAAAAACACCCGCATTATAACTTCCTTTCATGTGCTGCATGGCATTACACTTTGCAGGATTTTTAAATATCTCTCCAAATCAAACCTGCATGTGTTCATTACACAAACCATCTCTCTGTATTTGTCTCTATCTCACTATCTTTCCCAGAGAGTAAGCTGGCACTGTGAGACAGAGCAAACAAGGACAACAGCAACAACGATCAATACTTTACACACTCTCGCCTATCTCCGCAAAACCTCTCCGCCTACTCATGGTAAAATGCCACCAGCGTGCATATACAGGATCTGAAACTCTTGATGTTGGGATGCTCTCTGGCTGTATGTAGAGAAGAGGATGAGAGGAGAGTCATCTCCCAGAGGACAAGATCGAGAGCAAGAGTCTCTCTCCATCTTTCTGTTTCTCTCATTCCTCACCCGTCCACCCACCCAGAGCTGTCTGACTGTGTCTCCGCAGTCTCTTAACAGATAAGAGTGAGTGTTTTGGCTGCACAGTGTGAATCTTGGAATAATGATGGCACAGGACACAGTACATATGAAGTGACTAACAAAAGCTCCGGATATAAGCACACACTGAGCTTCAGCACACAGCTTCAAACGCTTTAAAGGCCATCACTGAGGGCACAGGTGGCACAATCAGAATCTTCTGAAGTACAGTTTGGAGTATGAAAAAACATTTCAAACTGGCTATGTAAATCAGTTTTGCCCTCTTAGATATCTATTTAGCCACTGTTAAGTACACAAAGCCCACTTAATAATAGGATAAAAGGTAATTTGAACTGAACAATGGGTCCATCAGCACAGTGGCCCATTCAGCAGATCTTTAAACAATTATTTGGATGTGAGAATTAGATTTGCCAGTGCTTATTTCCAAAGCACTGGTGAGGACGGTGACAGACCCGACCATTGTGGTTTCATAAAAATCGAAAAAAGGAACTTGATCGTTTGGACCGTGTTGATGATATAGACAGAGTGATGATGGATACTTCTTTAGGCTCAGTGAGGCAGCTGACAAGATTGCCTGAGGAAACATGGCTTAATATTGCTGCGAACTGCTATGACCTTGACATTTGAAGTGAGCTCTACATTCAAGCCGACGGCTGTCATTTGCTGATTTTGCTACACAACATGCAGGTTTTAACTGCTGGTTTGTAATGAATGACTGTGATCCCACGAGCGAGCCGAATGAGATTTAAGTGACGGAAAGAATCTCAGATCTTGTTAAAGTCAACTTGACTTTTTACATGGAACATCACCATCCACCAAGTACAAACCTCTACTGTGACATAGGAAAATATGTGCTGCTCATTACATGTGGAGGTGGCAATGTATTTCAATTTAGAAGTGTGTAAGTGGTGTATCTCACTTTGCTTTATTTTATAAAGGTTGTTTTGTCATTCAACGGGAAACCTGTTAAGAGCTCACGCTATTTTGTCGGCCTATGAAGACGTATAGGCCTCACTGATTGCTATACAGAGGAAATTAAAAGCATTCTAGTCCTTCCAACCTAACTTTACCTTCAGGGCTGAATGTTGCTGCTTCAGAAGGAAAAGGAGAATGGGACAGATAACGCAGATAACAGTTATCTGGACACAAGTGTATCTACGTAACGTGGATGTATTTCTCCCAACTCTAGATAACACATATAGGCAAACACATTGTGTGTCCACATAATGACACATGGATCTCACAAAAACTCGGAACACATAAACAAGGTATTCACTAACCCTAATCAGAGAAGGACTAGCACGCGTGCATGCCTATAAGAGTATGGGACCAGAAGATGGGGACTGCTGTGTTTTGAAATGCACAGCATCAATAGGTGAGCGACCCTGTTAAAGTCTGACTGCCTGGAGGAGTGAGAGCAGTCTTAAAGGAACCTGTGGCTACACAGCATGCCAGCGCAAGTAGATAAAACAGTCTTTTCAACTGGTTGAGCTCATTTCCTTCTGAGCTGCAGTGCCTGAATACACAACTGAGGCCGGACCTGTGGTGGAGGCTGAGAGATAACATGTCCATTTCTTTCCCATCAACAGCTAACAGTTCTTTATAAAAGAAAAGTCCCAACTTGTAATTCAGATACAAAGTCAAAAACTGCCAAAACAGCATGATAATAATGTCTTATCACTGAGAAACAAATAGAACCCTGTTTAAATTTATTTTGTTATTCACTTTGACGTTTTGATGTTATCAGCATTACCACAAAAAAACAAACAGCCGTGTTAAATCACAGGCTGCGTCACCACACACATGAATTACTCATCTCCTCAGAAGAGACTGATGCATTTGCATATTAAGCAAAAGCAAAAAACACAATGTTCTATATACCCTTCTGAGGGGAATATGGTAACAATGCAGGAAAATGCACATTTCCTTTTATGGTAATAACTAGCAGCAATTGTAAGAAAGTGATCACAGTCTGGTTATACTAAGGGAAAGTGTTCCAAGATGCAAAACATTGCTGGCTACAGCTGGTTTAACACCTAACAAAGTAAGTTTGTCATAGCTGGAAGCACTGATGCTGAGCTACATCTCTGGGGCATTTTGAAATCAAATTACCCAGCAGATAGGTGGAGTAACTTTTACTGAGCTTGTGCTGACAAAGCTGTGAATAGATGCAGTGAATCTGAAGACTTACTGCCACACGAGTTACCACAGCAACACATTCTGGGACCAGTTTCACAAGGACGTCTTTGGCAGCTTGCCATCACTCATTCATAAGAGAGAAAGAAAAACGGTATTTATGTGGGGTCTCATGCGGATGGAGAGGGCATGCTGTGTGAAGACTGTGTGCATTTTACGCAGTAAACTATAGTTACAATTTTGCTGGTTACTCTGGGGCTGAAGCAGACATGTCGTTCTAAATGCCATATCAATTATGTCTTTTTTCTTCGAATTTAAGTTGTTTATTCATTTGCTCAACACAAATTTCATCCAAATATCTAAAGCAGCAACTATTATTATTTAGTGATCAAGATTACAAGTAGCTATTTGAGTAGTTTAGCTGAAGCCAGCAAAGCACCTTTTTTCCCCCATCAATAATTATTCTACAACGTACGTATGAAGACAAATTGTGACATATAACAACTGGGTTGTTAGATTAAGTGGGAAAACCAAATGTATAATGACAAAAAAAACAAAAACATATTTACGTCAATAAATCTCATCAGTTTTTTTGAGTATTTTCATCAGATCTAGTTTTGTGTGTATTTTTTTCTATACATTTTTCATTGTTGCTTTAATCATTTTCTCTCACCCTGCAGGCCTTCAGTTCTCATAGTTTTGCACAAAGCCCAACTGTGACAACAGTCTCTCTCACAACAGGCCAGGGTCACATGACAGCAGGAGCAGATACCCAGGTGAGAGCCCTGCCTGGAGTGAAGGCCATGACTCCATCCAAGCTGAAGATGTATTCCTGCTTTCTCTGAGGCAGATTGCAAAACCACTGATGAGCTGTTAGACAACATCTGCCGTTTGATGCTTCATACACATTGCTTTTGGTTGAATTCATCAATGCAGCTCTGCTTTCGCGAAAAACAACCATGCTCCACTGAGCCATTGGTCAAATGTAAGCCTCTGTTTCTTAAAATGTCCCTTCACTATTTCACACTTCAGGATAATCCGTCTACGCACACCTGCTACCTTTCTTTTCGTAATTTGTTATCTCATGTCATCATGTGGTCAGGAGACCACATGATAACCATACAGGGAGAAAAAAAAAAAGCTCAGGGCTCAAGGGCTCTGTCAACATTTGCAGCTCATATTTCTACAGTATCTGCCAGGCAGAGATTTCTGGCATTTTTAGATGAGAGTAATTCCTCCAGAAGCCCCCCCCCCCCCACCCCTTACTGCTCATATCATTACCGTGTTACATAATGTACCAGTCGGTGATATACTTATTTGTTCATTTTTTCGCACAGCGGAGGGCTGTGATGTGAAAAACCTGATGCCACTGTGAACCACTTTCGTTCACAGCAATTATCGTAGGCAAGCTCTGGTTGGACACTGAAGGGCAGATGGCTGTCTTACAACAGACATTGATTTATTCGGATGATTACAAATGGATGTTGTCAAGCATGATGCCTTCTCAGCTTTAAAATGCTGTTCGAGGTGTGACAGAGAGCCTGTTAATGGCTTGATCTGATTTGAGCTGAACTGCTAAGGGTTGAAAGTAAGGATGATGTTTACAGGAAAACAAGCAGATCTTTGATTCCCCATATAAAGCATCCGACCGAACATTACCTGAGTGGCTTGTATTTGTTTAGCTCTCTATGTGCTTGGACGCAGAAGCCTTTTTCTATTTTCGCTCTGCTCTGACTTTTATCAGAAAGGCAGGGTTTGTGCATAATTAATGAATTCCCAAAGTTGACTCAATTTCAAACAGAGTACATTTTGAATTGTTCTGAGCTAAGGATACCCTGCAGACTTGTCCTTTGAAAAAAAATCTGTTGCGTTACATTTATTGCTTGTTAAAGGAAAACATAATATATAAAAGCAATAACGATTTCCAAATATAAAGCAATGGTTTCCATCAATCTGATGACAGCTGAATGTTTCAGTGTCAGTTCATTTTCAGTTTCGTATACCTTGCAAATGTGACAATCACAAGATTGATCTTATCCAAATGAACATGTGAGCCTGCAAACATATTAATTTAGGCATAGCAATAGTGAAATGTTGCGTTTGCATTACCAGATTAAAAAGAAAATTACAGCATTGAGTTAGTTTGGCAAATATCCAACGGGCTGTGACATAAAATTATATAAAATTGCATGTTATTTGGAGAAAAGAGTGTAGTTTTAAAACTGATAATGAGCTGACGTCCACCAACATGCAGAAACTACGACCTCGTGGGGAAAGAATGTAATGAAATCCTTTTTTCTTTTTTTTTTACCTTGATCCACTTGTGATTGAGCCGTTTATTTGGTCTGTGACTTTTAAGGTCTGCATTCAAATGTAAGACAGCAGCTGGTTCTTACAACATAGTGCTCCAGTGATAATAAATGCACTTCAAGCCTTGAAACAATGCCCCTCTGTTGACACTACAGCTCGTGTGCAGCGTAGCTATTTTTGGTGCATAATGGCAGCTTTATGAGAAGAGATTAAGCAGAGCTATGGCCTCTCACATCTAGATTATCATATTTCATTTATACACATTTAATGTGTTCATAGCTGACATGACTGACCTTACTTGAGTTGTAAAAGGTCATAATGGAGACAGCCTACAACCAGTATCACGATATGTGAGACAAAGATTTGCTTCCAGATTTAAGAAAAGACACCTGTAATCCAGAATCAATGACAAGCATTCTTTTTACCACTGACCTAAATCTCCAAACCTCACAGTAAAATGTCCGACATATATCTAAACAATGATCTTCTTGGATCCAATTTAGATTAGCTGTTTAGTATACTATAATTGTATAGCTTCATTTATGTGTCCACCCATATTTTTTCAAGGCCTGGCACATTACAATGAGCAAATTATCTAGACCTGTGATTTTGAAAGGCAAATTCTCCTGGTATCAATCTTTAAATTCATATGAAGAAGCTAACTTAGACATTTTCATATGTGTGCACATTCCAGTACCATTTGTTGTGTTTCATAATGTAATAGTCCTTTGTTGGTGGAAGTGCAAACAAACTCCTTGGTGGAGCATCCTATTGCACAGCAACAGAAGCAGCGGTTGTTGTTTGTTGTCATCTTCCTGATGGACAGATGGTATTATTACTATTTCATTTCAAATGCTTTCCAGATGGCTGGAGATGCTCGTATCCACAATGCCCCTCTTCATATTTTGGGGGAAATTTTACAATGCACAGTCTTTTTCATTTTCACATCCCCAGAGAATAAACATCCCAGGTGTATGGTTTAAAAAAGATGTGTGATTTTTCCCTTGACTCCACAACAGCCCCCTTCCCATGGGAGAGTCCGTTACTACCGGGTAAGAGACATGCATTGAATCATGCTTGAGAGATGGTCAGCCAAATATGCCAGCTCCCCAGAAAACACGCTGGCATTTATCCTCGTTTGACATTGCAGCAGTTAATTCAGTTGTTCCAATTTTGCCAGTCAGTGTGTTTCTGCCGTCTCCGGCTTTATGCAGCCACATCAAACTTTCTTTATTTGGTCCTCCTGAAACTTAACTTCACCCTTGCTCTTTTCTTCGAATTACATTTTTTAATTAAATTTCTTTCAGTCAGGTATGATCTACAATCACAAAGATTCTGATTTGTAACATTTTTTATGGAAAAAATAGCAACCTGTAAAATACATGAGGCAAACCTGACCAAAAGAGAGAAAGTGTATATGTGTGAAAACCTGTGGAAAATCACAACAAACATGAAAATATGAAAGGCACACATTTTTCAAATGTCACTTTATAAAACACCTTACACCTCCACTTTCCCATTAATGTATCACCCTACAGCGCTCCAATAATCCACTATGGTACAGCAGAAAAGGTACATGTTACCTCAAAGCTCCAAACAAATCATGTTCTATATTTTACCCACACGAATCCGGTAAATCTTCAACCTCAGACCACATAAATGAGAGCCAAGCAGCCAACACAAACATGTGTGGTCTGTTGTAGAGATGAAGCTGATGAAATGTTTAAAAGGGCAGTTGGAAAGTTTCCTTTAATCTTCTATTATTATTCACTGAGTAATTTCAACCCAATGCCATTCATTTGACTAACGATCAACATCCCCTGCCAAAATCTAAAAGGATCTTTAAAGAACTGCCAAACTGAGGGTTCGTGATTTTTAATATCATGTTTTAATACAGTTCATATCTCAAACTGAGCGTTTTGGATATGCAACCCCGCTGGTAATAAGCAGTATAGATAATAGATTGTATGAACGACATTAAATAAACAAGTAAATGGTGGGAAGGAATTTTGAATTCAAAACTTGCTCTTTATATTTGTTGAATATGGTATCTTAATCATTTCTTTCTGTGCCATATTCACAGTGTGAAATCTCTGCATTATTGATGTATCATCATGTGTTATTATCTACTGGGGGTTTTGTTTACTCATCACGAAGCACACATGACCTTTAAATCTAATTCAGTTCTACTTTACAGGACATCTTCTGTGCTATTTCACCGATTTTAAAGCCTTTTGCGTCATTTTAATGTATCCTATTTCATTTTAAAGAGGTAAAAACAACTTCCTGGAAACCTCTATTAATTTCTTTCTTTTTATATTGCAAAAACCACTGGCTTTATGTGTATATTATTTTTCTGGTTAGCAATCAGCAACCACTTCTCTTAGCACTGCGGCCCTCGATAACAATGATTTCAAACAAATTAACTGAACCTTGAATGGTGTCCATTTTTTAGCAAGGCAGAATTTTGAATGCTTTGTCTAAATCTATCTGACAGATTAATCTATATGCATGTAATGTAGTAAATAGTGGCTTGTCGCTTCTTTCTTAGAACTCAGTGCACTTTATTTGTAGTAAAGACACAAAAAAAGTCTTAAAACTAGAGTGCCACGTATGCCATAGTAGAGCATAGAGTTACTCTGCTTTACTGGAATGTAAAATACAACTCTTATTTGGTGCTGTCATTCCTGAAACCTGACCATCTTTTTGCACTGTATTCATTCATTTTCATTTTCATTTGTCTCTAGATGTTAAATTATCTTGTGTTCCTGCAAGTTGATGGGATAGTGTTTGAAGGGCAAGGCCTGGTTGTGTCTTTCACATACTCTCACTCTCATAGTCCTTCTTTTGCTCTCTTCTTCTCGGTGGGCGGGCAGTGGGCGCGATGACTAAGCTAAGGTTAGCCATGTGCTCCATAATCCACTGAAAGACCATATCCCTCCTGCCCACTTACCATGATTTCATCACTCAAACACCATGCTAACATAAATTAGACGATGAAAAAGAAGTAAAGCTGGATCAGATGAACAGAGCAAAAGTTTTCGGAAAACCTCACTCAACAGTTTATCGTGTAGGTTGTGGCTGCCAGTTCACAGAAGAGAATGAATACGCACTTTAAAAGCATGTCATCATGTGTTGATCACACATTTAGCTATGGCTGAATACAGATTATTAACTGATTCCAAAATGCTCTCATGAGAGCACTTCTTAGTGATAAGCAGTTAAAATAATTATTTAATTTTTGATGATGGATAACTACCCAGGAGAAAACCGTATGGATACAGGAAATCAACCCAACAGCAGAGCCAAAACTGTAAGTAGCCTATAGTTATAGTATACTTTAAGAGGTATATTTTAGGGCACCAATAAGTATGTTTACATGATCCAGACAAGAAAGAAAAAGATGAGAGGAAAACACAGAGGAAGAAAAATGGAGGGAGGCAGCGTATGGAAACAGAGATGCACTGGGAATAGAAAAGGAGGATGCTTTCTATTTTTAGGTCCAGATAACATGAGAGAGAGGGGGGCTCA